TTGCCGGCGGCTAGGGCTTCGAGCCCTAACACCCCGGCGCCGAGGGTGACCGCCGACCCACGCGACGTGTTTCCACCCTGTGGGATGAAGTCTGGCAGGAATTCCATCTTCTTCAGAAGATTTACATTGATCTGGAAGGACCCGAGGCCACTCGATCGGCCGATCCCGTCGTGGCCGGTGTTGCGGATGGCAACGTGCAAGTTGTGGTGGCGTGCGAATCGCACCGCTTTCTGGATGTCCTGGGCGGAGTGCGCGAGGACCCCGTACACGGGGATGCGGCCTTGGCTGCAGGAGATGGCGCGAGGCGTGTCGACGAAGCAGCTTCCGTTGTGGTATTGCTGCGTTTCCCAGGTCACTGACTGAAGTGCGCCTGCAGAGGATTACCGGGTCAGTGGATACGTCTCTCGATGAATATTAACTTGCTATGCCGTTCGTAGAAGTGAAATAAAATGAGGTAACTACCTGCTTCTGCGTTGCGCCAAAGGGAGTCATGCGTGGAGTTCCTGGCGAAAGCACATCGCGTTGGATCGTATTCCCTGCCATGGCAGACTGCACCAACCGGTTGAATCTGGATCAAATGCCCGTTCACGGTGCGGTTGAGAGTACTCCAGTCGTGGGATGAAGGCCAGCACGGGTCGTTTGGCAGACAGCGGCAGTCCTGCGAGCCACGGGCGGGGGAGGAACTCGTCTCTCTGGCTGTGAGAAACAGTAGAAGCCAGATGATAAGCATAGTAGAAGATGAAATAGACATTGTAGCTCTATGTGAACTCTATACTCGCTCATTGATCTGCCAGCGCCGCTGCGGTACGGAATCCTCATAAGTAAAGTCTTTCCCGGATCAGGCTGCCAATCTGTCTATGCAATTTCACGCCGACGAAGGCAGACCTCGACATAATTCTCCTAGTGGACAGTAATCGCAATCTCTACCAGGAACATCCATCTTCTTCTCGAGCTTAGCTGAGCACCCGATGGGTGAGAATGGAGCCTTCAAGGACTATGCTGGTTGCAGTCTATAAGCGGAATACGAGTAAGTCGTCAACGAAGTCAATCACGAGAGTCTCGGGTTCTGCTGACTATTTTTGCACCCGTGACTCGGAGATAAAGTATAAAATCCTCATCACCGACGTTTCGTAATGAATGTTCTCTTGCGAGTTATACGAAAATGATGCTATTCTGGATTGTTCCACCCGTGCGAGGCCGCCGTGCGATCCCAGATCTTTGTGCTACGGTAACGCGCATACATCTCGTGTTCCAGAACAACTGTTGGCTCTTCGGCCTGGGATAATCCTTTCTGGACGGAGAATCAGATGATGAGGTTGGAGAACACGGGGGCATAGCCACAATGTCCAAATGGGTTGCAACTGGGTTGTGTTTTGGGTGGCAGTTGCATCCTTCTGGCGGAGGTCTGGAGATATACTGACTTGAAGTTTAATGACACATTTGTTTCTTTCTAGTCATTCAAGACTGAATGCAAGAATAGCTAAACAAAATCCATACGGTTAGACGTACTTAGTGCTCTGACTCAGGATGATTATCATAACACACCGGGATATGGGTAACTATACCAAGTGCATTTGTAGTGATCTATTACTCAGCCATAGAAGTTAACAACTATCTTTCTTAGTAGAGCATCATCCTTGCAATGGCCAATTAATTACTGGCGACGCTGTTATTGTATCGGAAATACAGAAATAGTCGATGTTGCTTTGTTTGAGACTGTTAAGCAGGCTTGCTTAGGAGGCGTCAGTTGCCAGACCCATTATTGTAGGCAACCCGAGGCTCATCCGCTCTCAGCTAGCTGGCCGGACAAACCCTGTGACGGTTACGAAAAGGTGGGAGGTACAATGCACATCTGGAGACTGCGCTTTTCATACCAGTTCACAATGTGGTAGAGCCTGCATCTTGTTCACCCATGGCTGTCAATCCAAACACCGGCGGCAGGGTCCTAACATCATCAGCATTCATATTCACTCACAAAGATTTAAGGTCCCGATCATCACTCCGAGAACCAGAACCGAGACTGGCCCGTCCAGAGACCGAACGCTGATTTCCCTGGGCATGAAATATCTCAACCTTCCGGCGTTTGAGCCCAATTTATCTTGTCTCTCTGTGAGGTCCAATGAAGATAGTGGCTGGGCTGCAGTATGTGTTAGTCGGTTTTCCTGAACAGAACAATGATGGATCGAGAATTAAGAGGGACTTACAGGAAACGTGGGGGGTAGGATTACATTTCAAGCCATCTTGAGGTCCCCCCATACGTGCTTTCCCTGTTTCTCCTATCAGTAATAATGATGGGGAAAGGATGAATTATGCCTAAGAACATATAGTTAGCATCTCTTCTGTAAAGTATTGCTGTGACAGTGGAAGTATGGTGCTTGTGGCACATGTACAAGGGCTTATGGCTTTTATCGGGCTATTATTTGTGTAGAACCCTTCTCTGAACGTCTTCTGATCGCCACGAGTTCTCACATAGAAAAGTTGCGTCCTGTCTCGTTACCCTCCTCTAACTAGACTATATAGTACGACCAGAGATTACGAGTTCAGACAACTAGAGAGCTCAGATGGACGTAGAGTAGAATTGCCTCTTTTAGATTAGCGACACTTTGAATGAACATCGGTGTAGACAGAAGGATGCCGTCTATTTTTCTCTTTGACACATTTATGAGCGGACTTCAAGTACAATAGAGGTATCATTTCACCTTTCCCATCTGGAGTCCTCATTGAACCTTCTTGTGTACTGAAGACGGGAGGTGTTGTGTGTGAAAGAACTTATTATATGGAAGGGACGGTGCTGCCATTGAGAAAGAAGCTTCGGGAATATGTCCAATATCTATAATACGAACTCCCGATGCACCCTTACACCAGTATCAAGCCAGCCCAACTATTTCTCCCCCCAAATACCATGGGCACGCTCGATATTATATGGTCTTGTCTGTTCACGATTATCTCGTGTACCTCGACAATCCAGTAGGGCTCGGTAACACTACCATGCCCCCATCTTATCGGCCCGGAAAGTCCTCATGTACTCTTTGACCCCCAGCTCATGCGTAGCCATGTCATAAGCGCCCAGCGTAGCAGCGTCCATACCAATGTCAGTCCAGCCAAACTCCTTGGCGGTCTTGTTAATTGCCCGCTGAGCTGCCGGTTCGTCCGCGATATCAGCCGCCATGGTCAGCACCTTCACATCAGGGTGTCTTTCAGTCATCAGCTGGAGTTTTCTTGCAGGCCGGCCGCATCAATGTCAATTAATACCGTCTCATGAATGTTGTGATGGGCAAATGCCAGGGTGACGCTGCGGCCGATACCTGATCTGGAGCATTAGCAGTAGAATTTACCCCTGGGGGAAGGATCAAGATGTTCAGACCTGATGCTGCTCCAGTAATTCATGCCATTCCTTGAAGGTTCAAAAAGGCCATTTTCTTTGTCTTTTCTCTTTCCTTTTTCTTGCGCCTTGTTTTCTTTTGAGGTTGTGCGAATGGTGTGTAGTGTATTGGAAGGTTTCGGTCTTGACCTATGATTGACTTGCGCTTGATTTCGTCTCAAAGGTGCTGCAACCATTTTTCAAGGCCTGTTCATACATCCTGAGAAGGCTGCTTAGCGTGCTACGACGTCCGACAGGGCAGGACACCTGTGATGTCACCTGGGATGTTGAAGGACTGGATTTGGTCCAGGATCTGCGGCGCGCCGCCCCCTTGCATAAATTTCTAAAGTCGAAGCCGCGAGTTGGCCCAAATGTGATCATTCAAGGTTCTTCAGAGGGCTTTACAGGTGTTAAGGAATGGGGAATTGTAAGCTTTTGCATCTATGTTGCACGACGGTGTCCAATGCCTCATGATGACGATACTGAGTCGAGAAGCCATTGCGATGAGAGGCAAACCGTGGCCCGACCTTAAGAATAAATCTGGCTTACCCCAGCGCTAAGATAAGTCTCAATGCCAGGTATCAATCTGCGGCCTATAACAATGACTGGGTCCATCAGATCTGATCGTGGTCGCATAAGAGTGACGAAGTTATGCATGTCCACGATGTGGCCCACGGGGGTAGATCATGACGTGTCCGCAGAAGCACTCTCCTTGTCTGCATAGATGTCTATCACTTGGATGGCTCTGGGCAAAATGCTTATCGGGAAAATACCCCGATGTTCTCACGGTACTGCGGTGTAAATAGAAGGGCACACCTGACTACGGAGTATGATGTCAATCAATTTGCAGCCATGAGCAGGTTCTTTAACCCCTCCAAAGGCAGATAGAACATGACGAGAAGAGGTAAGGAGGCAATCACAGCACGCCATTTATCTATATGGCAATTATCAAGAGTGCAACTTGGGAGATTCCACTCTGACTGATCTCGTGGTGTACTATCCCCATCATCAATGAAACCCGGGTGAGATTGTCAAGAGGTAACCCAACGCATAGTTTTGCGTCTGTACGTAAAAGTTAAGGTTTGTATTTTGATCATATTCTCCTTGCAGATGATATATATTCTCTATGTCTCGACGTAGATTGATTTTGCATGATACAGTTTTAATATAGTCTGAACAGCCCGTTTGCTACGTTCTTCCTGGCCCCAACGTCCACGACGACTCTCGACAATTGATGCTTTCTCTTCAATTCTCTTCATATTTCATCCGTATGAAAATGCCATTGGGTATCAACGGGCTATCTGGAAGTTTTTTTACGCGTCATATATCTCTGATTAGAGGACTTGTTTCTTGGAAGCAAGAGACAGAAACCAACCCTCGTCGTATTCCGATCCATGAAACCGTTCCTTGTGTTGCCCAGTCAGAAACACCACCTCAATATACGATTAGAGAGAGAAGGACTAACATATCGCACACCTACCAACCAATCATTCATATTGCCATTCCCTTTCAACCAGTGAAATCCGCTTTCACCTTGGAAAACCGCATTTTACTGTTGCCGGTGTATAGATCCAACTAACGTGACCTAGAGCCCCCTACTCTTAGTCCCGATTGAAAGGACAAGCTATACCACCATATTTCAGCGATGTAAAACAGCCCTGTACCGTATTCTTCCAGTCCTGAGCATCTGCATCGCTTCTTCAATCCCCGCCTGTGTCAACGGAAACTCCATGATCGTGGGATATATCTTCTTCCGAGAGGCAAACTCTAGCAGGTCCAGGACGACCTGGCGGGAGGCAATGAAGGACGACTGAATGCAGATCCCGCGCTGGATCATGAGCGCGAACGAGACCTCAATTGGCTCGAAGGACGCCGTAATGAAAAACATGGCACTATTGTTGTCCATCAATGGGACTAGTCTGTATGGATGAAACGATGGACCCTGGTCAGCGGAAAGGTCTTTTGAACATGTCAACAAGGCAAGCGGAGAACTCACGTATCAAGACTCTTCCCCGGCTGTCCACAGATCAGAAGATGCTGTACTGGCTCGAACGTTTCTTCGAGCGCATGATCACCTCCAAACAGGTGGAACTCCGCCGCCCCAAAATCCAGGGCCTCCTGTTGTTTGCCCTCGGTGCGCGAGAGCACCACCACGTGGCATCCGATCGCGTTTGTCAGCTTGATGGCCAAGTGGCCGACGCCGCCAATGCCGAGCACGCCAACGCGCTGGCCAGGCCGGACGTTGTACTGCGTCAGACAGGTCCAGACGGTGGCTCCGGCGCAGAGCAGTGGGGCGGCGTGGGCGGAATCGTACCCGTCAGAGATGGGGAAGACCCAGTCAGCGTCCCAGACTGTGCCATGGCTGAGGGATCCGAGGTCGTGGTCGTGCGTCAGGTACATGCGTCCGGTGGGGCAGTACTGGGACCAGCCTGTGCAGGTGCGACGCGGTAGTCAGAGGAAGAGTATGGGGTTTAGGGTAACGGGCAGAAGGCGATATCAACCAGGGAGCAGAGGTTCATACCCGTGAGACACCGGTTACACGCACGGCACGTCTTTCGCACATATCCATATCCGACCCGATCTCCAACGTGGACGGAGGTAACGTCTGGGCCGACGTGCTTCACAATCCCGACCCCTTCATGTCCCAGTGCCAGGCCTTGGTGCATAAAGTGCTCGTCTGTGCCGCAAAGCCCCGAGTGGGTGGTTTCAATGTACACCTCGTTGGCTCCGAGTTGGCGAGTGGTAGTGTCTGAAGCAATCCTCTCGTCGGCGGAACCCCGGAAGATGGAAAATGTCAGCTCCATGGTGGTGGATGTTTATCAACCGAGATCAATATAGTATAAAGAAAGCACGATGGTTGCCCCGGGAGGGCGAGTGTATATGTATAAGTTCTTTGTGAAAATAGAATCAGTATGGTGAGAGACCAGCAATAAGCAAACCAAACAATCAACATGTTGGTAGAACCGGTGTATGAGTGTTACCTTGCTAGTAATTAACAATTTAGCGGTAAGCGGTCTTGGATCGAGATATATGAGGTCAATTCACACGCAGAGTGCCAGATCTGGCAGTACGCAAGGGGAGAGTCATCCCTGGACCATCAGCGGTAGTACTGTACACAGATGACGAGTGTTCGCTTCGGCCTTGCATGTGGGGTAGCTCATGTGTTAGCTTGAGCCGCGCCTGCATATGGACTGCATGCAGCTTGTATCACGCCGAACCGAAGCAGTCCACTTGTTCACGCATAATGAGCTCAAGCATGTCCTATACATCTGACCGGCTCATCATCGCTAACAGATGATATTGCAACGCCGCGTTGAACTTGAATTTTCAAGCCGGACCCGGCAACAAAGCACTCGTATGAATTGCATGATCGTTGATCGATGAATGGTGGTGCGGTAACGAAGTTGCCCTAATTACCAGGCAAAGCAACAATCGGCCAACAGCCAATTCCTAAGACTATATTAAATTATCGACAAATCTCACCTGTTCCTTATGAATCTGCCTGCTACCCAATCTTCCACAGATCCCGGTTCGGTAATCAAAAACACGCCTGCATTAATTGGAATGGATCTTGTATGCCCATGCGGAATAGCCATTATGCCACTTCTCCAGGAATACACCGCTTCGAACTGGGATTCGCCGCCCCTTGTCAAAGACATAACTGATAGAGAGAAGAGAAGAACGAGAAAGTAACAGAAGAGGAAGAGAAACATAAAGTGAAGAGAAAGAGAAGGACAAAGACCTTGAACTCACAAGTTAGCATAAGCACCCATCTGGGTCCCATTCGATTAGCTTCAAGTTTGTCACTCAGCCTCTGCACCGGAGCTAATAAGCAACCGACAGGCAGCGTCATGGCCTTCCGCTAGGGATAGTAGGGTCCTGCCCAGTAAATCTCGAGTATTGACATCAGCCCCATGGCTGAGCAGGAGTTCCAGGATTTCTGTGTTTCCTTCAAATGCCGCGTAACAGATGGATGTATCCCTTAATCCGTTTCTCGGAGCGAGATTTACACCGCTCTCGAGGAACATCTTTACTACTCCCACATGCCCATTTATGACGGCTAGTCGCAGTGGAATGGCCCAAGATGCACTACCGGAAGTCACATCAATGGCATACTCAAAGATCATCTGAACCAGATCTGCACGTCCTTCCTCGGCGCGGCTCGCCAGGAATGTGCGGCCCATAAGGCTTGGAGGCCCGACACCGGCTTTTTCGACCTTGATCAGATATTCAACCACAGAAGAGAGGCCGGATTGAAAGGCGAACTCGAGAGCTGCATGACAGTCTGAGGAACAGAGCTCTCGTGCCAAGGGTGTAATGGGGTCCTCGTAGGTGATTGTACATGAACTGAAATGCGTTGCCCAGTTCCGTGTCGCGTATCCCTCGAGTGTGTCCAGTTCCTGGTGTTTTTCAGATGCAAGATACCGTACGCAGACCTCGGCTAGTAGTCGGTTCGAGTCCTGGAGATCGATCGAGCCTTTCCAAGTGGGTGTCCTAGCAATGGGGTCCAAAGGAGGCGTGTATTCTGATCGGACTAGAAACTCCCTGGCTGTTTGGTGGAGCAAGTATACTTGTGAGTGAATGACGACTACAAAAAGACCACAAATCTGCCGAAGAGTTTGTTTGAAATCCTCCGCAGTCTCCAAGTAGTCTTCAAGGTCTACAGATTCCTTGAAAGCTTGGTCGCAGGCAAACACCAAAGCGAGTTCGTTCACGGATAACGGACGTTCTGCGGCAAGAATAGTCTGCAAGATGGTTTTTGCTCGCTCAGGCGCTGGGCTTCGACTGAGGATTTTCTCGTAGGCGTCATCAACTGTGGAAGGAAGCTGACTCACTGCCGCCCGAATATTTCCCTTTGTGAAGCCAGGAGTAGTTCGGATGACATCCATAGTTAGGGTGACCCAGAGGTAAGTACGGTCGACCACCGGCAGGAGTTCGTCTAGTAACATCTGGCATTGTTTGGAGGTGAGACCACGTTCGCGAGCAATGTCCTCGACCCGTTTCTGAGTAACAAGATTGATCTCCTTGGAGATTTGGTCGATCTCCTCCTCGCCTTCACCACTGAGATGAATCATTGACAGGTCCCCTTGGGCACCTTGGAATTCCCGGTAGATATCGAGATATGGCCGGCTGGTGACGAGAAACTTCACATTGCCAGTTCCCAAGCCTCCCTGAGAAGAACGGACAAGCTCTTCAATCAAACGGCCGCGGCCCACTTTCTCGCATTCATCGAGGGCGTCCAAGACGCAAATAACCTCACCGAGGCATGGGTCCGTCACCAGACTGGTAAAGATAGACCAGAGATCATCGAAGGACTTGGTCAACCTATCACCGTCCGTGCCGAACTTGGCCAGTATGGAATCCCGCAGCAACTGTGGGTTGGACAGGAAAACCTGGCGCACAATTGCACTGATTGCGCTGGCGGCAGTGTTCTGATCCGAGAAATCATCCTTGAAGAAGAAGTAGCATATTGTGGCTTCCTTCCTGGCGGGGAGAAAGTCATCCACGAGGTACCTGGCCAACACAGATTTGCCGCATCCAGGATCGGCTGAAACCCATAGCAGACTAGAGCCTTCGGTTTGATGCCAGCTCTCAAATAGAGAATGATGTGTGAACCATTCGCATGTGCCAGGCACTCGATCATCGTTTCGATCTTTCCGGTCTTTGTATGGAGAGGTATACAGAGTACGCAGGAGTTTCATGACCTTTTTGTCACGATCGATCAACATCTGACGCGTGCTTTCGTATTGTTGCGTACTTTGGATCGCCCTGAGTCGCTGATCCACATTCGCAGCCCCGATTATCTGAGCGTCTTTCTCTGTATCTACCTCGAGAGACTTGATGTTCTGCAATATATCATCCCACCCTTCGTGTTCGAAAGCGTCGCCCAACAGCCGTGCAATGCTGCGTTTCCCAAGATATTGCAGTGCACGGGCCTGGAACTCGAGGATGGCAGCGTATAAGTCGGTCAAATGATCTTCGAACTTTTGCAGCAGATCGGCTTGGTGCCCTGGCGTAGAAACCGGAGCATGCTCCCCGGAGCGGTAAACATCTTCGATCACCTGGAAGCGACACATCAAACTCGAGGTATAGTCTAAAGTTTGAAGAAGAATCGCCTGTTGACTGGTTGCTTGCAAAGCGAGCATGAATATGACTGATAGGCCAGCACAAGCCAGCGCTGCTGGAGGGCTGGCGCTGGCAGCCGTATCAACAAGTCCCTTTATCACCAAGACCTTTTCGAAGAGACCATTCACCAGGTCCTGGACCGCCACCGCTTGATCACCGAATTGTATCTTCCATTTCTGCTTCTCCAACGCGTTCACCCGCTTCTGAAACAGTCTGTCTAATTGAGCCTGGCGGCGAGCAGTGCCGATCGGTTGCAGCTCCTCACCTAACTCCTCGGCCAGCGTCGCGTATACTGATTGAAGAAGCTGGTGTTTATCCCGGTTTCTATTCAGAATATCTTCTGCTCTCTGCCAGAGATTGGCGCTTGCACTTTGGCCGTTGACCAGTCCCTGATATTGTGGCGATGGGGGCTTCTCGCGGGACTTCTCTGCATGTCCTGTAGCTGCATTTTCAAGAGGGTGTGGTTCTGCGAGGATATGTTTTGTCTGGAGACGAAACAGTCCCCGTAGCTTGGCTTTGAATTTTCGAACGTACGTCTTCAGTCCCATTTTTTACGGGCGCGAAGAGAGGTGATCTGGGTGTGTTTGTCGGCGACTGCGTGCAGAGGCTCCCACGCCGAATCTTTGAGAACCCTTCTGGGTGCGGGCGAACACTCCTTGGGCAACGATGCAGCATTCTGCTGATCCTAATTGGAGCAACCCTTGAAAGTGTGACATGTAAGGATGGGTTGCATAAAACTCATAATTGCTTTTTTATTCTACCCCTCATTCGTCGCTTTTGTCCCATCTCCTTCTCCTTCGATTTGCGGCACACTGCTCATGAGATCGTGCACCATACGTCTCGATAGCCTTCTATATCATGTTCGGAGATGGCTCCAACGAGCTGCAGATAACAATAGAACTTCGCTTTCCACCATTGACCAACATTCGACATGGAGTCTGGGGGTCGAGGCGCGGAAAGCGAAGGACTTTAGTAGATTCCGATTGCCCCCACCCACATTAGCGCTAAAGCCTGGCGTGAACTCTCTGGCCACGTAGTCTGGATGAAGACCTACCAACACGTATCTGCAGCCACAGTGTGACAGTACCGGTGACATCCTGTTATAATATCACTCAATGTCACTACCCATGTACATGTACAGTGCTGGAACTAGGTACCTAGTAGTACTGGTATAGACTAGGGCTATCGAGGATCATCGGCCCAATTAACAAACCAACATCTGCTATGGAACGCTAATCAATGCATCCACTTCCCTCCACTTCCCCAAGCGGACTAGGTGTTCGCTGATCACAAGCAGGTGGTGTGGGGAGCTGAGAAATCTACTGGATCCAACTGCGACCGGAGAATCCACCATGCACTGCCAGCTGAGATCTAATTCTCCTTTTAAGCGATTGAAGACCTCGTTGCCTCAGGAAGTTCGAAGCATCGAAGGCTCCAGTCCGTGGACACGACACCTACTATGTCCGCGATGCCAGTCTCCGCATCAGGATCAAGATCTCTGCCTGTCACCTCAAGGCAAGTTCAGAGCCGAGAAGGTGCTAACCCTGCGACGATCTCCAGACTCATCACTCCTCTGTTTCAATGGAGTCTTGATGATATATCCCTTTCGAGCACTGCACTTCTTCTGGAGGTCTCCGCCTCCTCACTCATAGAACGGATCCGTGGAGAGCGCTTGAGCCGCCTCCCGTTTGAAGCGAGCTCTTATGACAATCTGCTGGCATGGGCCCAGGCCCTCGTGGAGAGGCTGAACGCAGTGGAGGAGATCGTCGAGCCATTTATGGCAGATATTTACCTTGCCACTAGTCTTGCGTATGGCTACTTTGCCATGCTCCTGGAGGTTTGTATTTCTCAGAACCCAGCTCGCGCCATAAACCTGCAACCTTTGTGTTTAGTCCCTGAAAGGCTCATGCTTTCGTCTAGTATGGAGAGGATAATGTAACGCCGCTGGGACTTGCCTTTGGCTTTTTCCATGACATCTCCGCCCCTTTGGAAAATATATTGCGCGGAACAAGCCTCGACAGTACCGAAAAAATCGCCGAGCAACTCGCTTTGGCCCTTGTTGATTTAGTAACCCTCATTGCTCGTTTCTCCGTTGGACTATGCCATGCTATGCGCGGATCAGGTGATGAGCTCCACTCCAACTTCCACAAACATTATGCGGGCCAGATCGAGACATTTCGGAGTCGCTGCGAGAAGGTCACAATAGCGATTTCAAGGCATCGGTTGCTGGGAGCGACCCGGGACCCGGACAAAGGCAAGTTCATTTTATGGCTAATTCGAATGTGTCCATTTTCTTGAAGAATGCCATGGTTATCTAACCTCCCTGTCCAACAGGTGATAATATCGATGCAATCCGATCTTGGCTTGCGCCCGATGATCGTGCGATTGCGCGTCTCGACGAGAATGTCTCAGTCCACGCCATGGAACGGGAGGAGAACACCTGTTCGTGGATATCACCTTATGTCCGACGATGGCGAACGGATCAATGCGCTCAGATCCATATTTTCGGGCGCTCGGGTACAGGGAAGAGTGTTTTGTCGCAAGCGATCCTCAAATACTTGCAACGGAAACGCGCTGCCTCCACTTCCCCGCGTCTGTGTGTTTTCAGCAGTGAGCATATGCGGCCGTACAGTTCTTCAAAACCCCGGTGCCTAACGGACGCTCGACAGGTATCAGATTCCCAGCAGAGGGCACCATGCGTTCCATTGCCCGGAGCCTCTTGCATCAAATGTTCATTCAGTCCATTGGTCACGTTCCACTCCTGCTACTACTGAGCGATGCATTCGACCGTAGTCGGCGGACCACAGACAGCGATGATTATGATAGCCTCTTGTGGGATACTCTGAAGCGCGCACTGACATGTCTCGCCCCGGGAAACGACCAAGTATTCCTGGTCGTAGATGGGGTGGACGAGGCCTTGTGCGATGAGACGACTTTGCTGCGCAAGCTTCTCTCCATCACTGCTGAGACAGCGAATGTGAAACTGATCACACTAGGAACCCAGAAACCTCCGATAGCCAGCGGTCAGACCCTCTTGGAGGTGAGAGAAAATCTGGTTTTCGGTGATATCTCCACTGTGGTTGAAAGCTCTTTGGTGAGTGGGAATATTTTCCCCAAGCTGCCCGGAAAAGATAAAGAGGCTATTATCGGTGCTCTCACTGCGGCGAGCGAGGGCTCTTTTCTGTGGGCGAAGCTTGCCTGCCGGCACATTCATGACCAAGAAAGCCCCGATCAACTTAGCAGGGCCATGGATCTTCTTTGCACCACCAAGCCCAGTGTCTCCGACATGATTCACCTTCGGTGCAACATGGAGGACGTAAGCCTTGACGCCAGGCATATGCTGGCACTGCTTGCCGTCGCCCAGCGTCCTTTGATTCCAGTGGAGGTCCAGACCCTGGCTTCTATTCTCGTTGACCAGCAAACAATTCCCGTCAGTGATAGGAAAGATGAAACCTTCGTGCTGCGGAAACTACGTCCACTTAACCGCTTGATATTCTTGTCGAACGATGTGCTTTCATTTCGACATGCGTTGATCAAAGATGCAGTATTGAAGCTCGTGACCGCTGGCCATGTCCACCCCAACGAGGATCCCGCCATCGACGTCCTAACCCGACTTTTTATCTGCCTCAAATGCTCAATTGGCGAGTCGAGCGAGCCGGCCCTCACGCCCCTTGATCAAGACACGGCCACAAGCTTGCAGCACAGCCAGGCTCTCATCCCATATGCTCTGCGTTACTGGCCGATCCATTACCAAAACCTGTCTGCCGCGACCCAAAGCCCTATCACTCGGCTTGCAGAACGGTTTGCCCCCTACCTGCCGGTGTCGACAACGTGCATCCGGCTCCAGAGCATGGTCTGGGCCGGGCTCCCGCCGCCGGAGTGCCTCCGCTACCACGAGCTCTCGGCCGTCCTCTACCGCACGGCCCTGGGACCCAACCACGTGGCCACCCTGCAATGTACAATCCTTCTGGCGGGCTTGTACGATCGACTCAAGCACGTCGACCCAGCCAGTCGGCTGTACTACGATGCGGCGCTGAGGAGCCGGACGTCACTGACGGCGCGACATCCGCTAACGCTGCAGTTGACCAGCCGATTTCTGGACCTGACATCAGGCCAAAAGATCACCGGTGCCCAGTCCGAGCTCATGCGTTGGAGAGGAGAATGCTTGGCGCTCTCTGTCGAATGCCACGAGCTTCAGCATGGAGAGACATCGGACGAGGCGGGTGCGGCGAGGAGACTTCTGACTGAGCATCAACACCAAAGGCCGCGTGAATAGCCCCATACGAAACAAGGTCTGGTCTTCAACACACACATGATCTGAGACGATACGATGAAGGCCAGAGGGAGGCTCAGTACACCAGATAATTGCACAATTATATCCAGTACATTTTGCCCCAAGTAAGCTCGGACCGGAGAATATCATATGGGCCCCAATCGGTCTCGATCATCCAATTCAGAGATCCATGTTCTCGATATAATTTGAGGACCTGTTTGGCCTGCCACAGTCTCTGGACGACAAGGAGGGCGGGAAAGATGGGCACGTTCCATACCTTATTTACAATTTTAAACAGATTGCACAGAACGTAGAACATCATATGTAAAATCGTCAAGAAAGCTTATTCACCCCAGCGTTTTGTCGATGGTTTACTGATAATATCAATTTAACTCGTGGACTGAACTAGCGCAACGCGAGGGGTGTTGTATCTTCAGCCCGGCTCATGGCATAGAAATAGGCAGCAGTAATTTCACACGGCTAGATTGTCGAGAACAAATCCCAGGACTCGATCTATACTTCAGGCTACATCTCCATTGAGGTTTTCAGTCATGTGTATCCCCCAATGTCTAACACCTACTGATTTACGTATAATGCAGCCTGGTGTGCCTACGGAGGCATCCGTTTCCGGAGGCGGCTGTTTCCCGTCACGGGTCACTCTGACTACTCGGAGATGACGAACCACCTTCAGGCCGGGGGATTTGGTGTTGCCTGACCACAAGGCATCAGGATTGATTCAGCTCTTGGGTTGGATTGAGGAAGCCTAAATTGCGTCTTTTTTAAGTCGTCAATATGTAAGCATATACAAAGATATATATGATGTCCAACCCTCCAAGTCAGCCGGTCGCAATTTTGTCCCTCCGTCTCACTCAAGGTCCTCGCATCTCGGAACGGTGAATTCAGCTTTGCCCTAATTTCCAACAAACCATCGAAAGTCACACATCGCGTGAAACAGAGGCGCACACAGTACAATGTCTGTCACCGAAATCGGCTGCATGCGCGTCAAGCCTTCACTCGATGTTATGAACGAAGATAATCCTGAAGGACAGATCCTGAGCAAGCTGTACAACTACGTGGTCGTCGCACCGGGGGGCCCACTTCGCGTATCTTGGGGTGTCGAGGTTGAGGATCCGTCCTACCTCTGGGCATTCTTTGACTGGGACTCGCTAGAAGCCCATGAAAACTTCGCTCGAACGTGAGTAGAGGCCTCCCGCCATTCATCTCAGTTACTGATAACAGCACCACAGACTGGGCCAAGAAGCTGTCAAGGACTTACCCAGGATCCTGACTCGTGGCGGATTCACGAAGCACATTACCGCCACGTCGACTCTGCCAGCTACACTGCAATGTGCAGTCACCCAAGTAGTCCTGGCGTACTTTGCTTCGGATCTGCCACCCACCGTGACAGACGCAGCGATTGCACGTCTCAAGGATTGGGAAGAGAATGAGATTGAGAAGGTCCCGGGCATTGAAGCTCTGAGCTACGGATGGGGCGTAGAGAAGGACTTTCCCATAAGAGACTGCTCACCAGACCAGAGAGCATCAATCTTTCTGTCCGTGTTTGGATTCGATGATGTTAATGCGCAAAGAGATTTTCGGGGGTCCTTGGCCTTCGAGGAATTGTTGAGGCGGATCCAGGCCACGGAGGGATTCGTCAAGCTGGAGGTTTTCTCCGTCTGTTTCCGGTCCACGAGCAGACACAGTTAGGGTGACTCCCGGGAGATGTCATTTTTCTCACACAGGGGGTTTCCCCTGTGAAAGCGCAAATATCAGTATCGCCTAGGCAATATGAATTCTCTCAATAGAACACAATCGGCGGGTTGTATCTGACTCCTTAGCATGACATTGCGAGCTCTCAGGTTTGAGGGGGTCCGACCATCCATTGGGCAAGTGGGAAATTGTTGCAAGTATCGGCCTGACAGGCTGTCCTATGCTAGGTACTATTCCGCTCCCCACTTCCCATGATGCGAATTATGTTCAAGGTCTCTACAAAATGGCGTGGCACATTTCACTGAATAGGAGAGAAGAACAAAGAAACAGGTATAATTGAGAAGAAAGGAACAGATGACAGACTCCGGGTTAAGTTCGTCGCCTATCTATATTGATTTAGATCGAATGAAGTCCTTCAGCTCAGAAGACATATGTATTTTTCATATGGCAAAAGGAAATAAACTAGACAAAGCAAGAAGGGAAATACTCAACTTCAACTTTCTGGTCTTACTTCAGAGCCATATTCTCCGGCTCCTTTTTCTCTAACCATAGTTGTATGCGAATACTTCATCTTCAAGCGGCAAGCCTATATATATCGCCGTGCATCAGTGTTAAAATGCTGTGAAAGTAACCTCAACAGGTCATTACAAACACAACACTGGTCATCCCCAGCGCTGAAGCCTGCTCCATTGACCTTGTCCAGCCTCAGGTGCCCACACCATACCCCTCGTCAAGAACGCCACCAGACACCATGCTCGACCTTGAGGACCTCGCCATTCTCTTCGTGTCATGCAGCGTCTCCTACTGTAGCTGGTACTTCTCCACCGGTCCACTCCATCGCTGGGCCCGCGACACGCCCTATGGCCCGCGACTCCTGCTGATCTACGGCAGCTTGCTCGTGAGCGTCGCCTCGAACCAACTGTGGTCGAACTACCTGACTCACCAGCGGCTCCCGCTGGTTCTCCAAGCCTACCATCTTCAGCAACAGACGGCGCTGGGCAACCATACGTCGACTCCATTGAACGTCACCGAGGCACTGACCGCCCTTGTTGACGTGGGGATGCTCATCGGGAACCCGGAGCTGGCAGCGTGGCTGCTCAATCCGTGGTCCCTACTCGTGATGAATATTCTGTGGGTGAATCTCTTGATTTCGGGCTTTTTCGCTCTGGAATTGGCGCTGACGGTTATCTGGCTTCCAGGTATTCACGATGAGTAGATTACAGATGTTGTAAAGTGATTACACAGATAGGCTAAAATGATTGGATCTGATGTTGTGTAAGTCCTGATAAGCAAGAGTTGCTATTAAGGTGAGTTGCTTCTTTTCCTCTCTTTGCTAGTGGACTTTTTGTGGATGCTGGACTTTATATGCTAGCCTTCCAAGATTATCATAATTGAATTAATTTTAGAACATATTATCTTTGCGATGGATATCTGAAGGGCACCGTCCCAAATGGGTAGAAAATGAACTTGTATTTCGGCGTGATAGCCACACAACTGTAACTATAGCCACCTAGTTCGGCATCAATTGTTTACTAAGATGTATCTTTTTTAAAGAGCTAACTATGTCGCAGCAGCTGCATGCACCTACAACTCATCAGCCCTGTATTGGTCGTATGTTTTGCCCTGTTGCATCTGAGCAAAATAGACTATTGAGGGCTTACCACTCTTAACCTCGCCTGTTTTATTAACATTCCCTCTGCTTACTCCGAATTTGAAGGCAAGGCAGAGTATAAAGGCCATATCTACTGTCTCATCCTCACCCTTCTTTCTCTTGCGCCTTTTATACATATTATTGTTCCCATTATCTGCTCTAATGGCTAGAAGTACTTGCCCCAGATTCTGGGCCAGTATGACCGCCCCTCCCCGCCCCCTCTTCCTTCAATAAACAATACAAAAATCAGGAACGGAACAGCGAACACTAATATGTAACCTTTAGGTGGTACCCTTAAATGATACCTGACCAACATGCGGATCGGACCGCATGTGTTTTCTCTACTTTACTGCCTTGACTTCCTAGGCAATTCATGCGGGGAGTCCAACGACATCGATAGGCCTCTAGTCGACGACCTCATATCGCTGGTTACAGTACGATACAGTACAGAAAGCAAAAGTACACCTCTCGTTTGTTAGGAATGGTAATTTGAATAAAAACCTTACACCTATCCCGTTTCTCTTGCATCTCATCTGCCCCTCCCTCCCTCACCTAAAGAGAGGCAGACAATCATACACGAAACCTGCTGCAAATTGTTCAGGAGCGCATCGAGTATCTTCGTTTGTGTGGGTTTTATTGTATGCTTTGGGGCAGACCATTATGCCGAAAGGGGTGTGGGTCTGCTCGACCTCAGAGATTGCTATCCCTGCAGGGCTGGCACGCACTTTAGTGATGTGTTGTCGCGGTGAGGCTGCATACCTAGCTACCTACCTGTTAGGTCAGAAGTCCACCCAACCCTACTTCTCTTTACCAGATCCTGCCAGTTGTCTGCGTGATTATGTAAAACACCGAATGTCCATGCAGCTATACTGAGGTCGAAAGCTGACTACCCCTCCTTCTCTCAGTCTTATCTATCTGGGACGTTTAAGTTTTGCCTGACCCTCAAGTGCATGGAGCCAACAAATCTCCCCACACCTGAATCTGAATTTGATCCATAGCTTCACCAATGTTCTTTAGGCATGATTAATATACGATCGCATGGATCTGTGCCTTCTACTGGAGATGGCAGCCGCGAAGGCGATGCTTGATCGCACTCACCCTTCGTTACAGCAGTCGAGAACCGACGACAATAGCTACACCCTAGGAAGCATCCATGGCCACAACGTTGCGGTGGCCTGATTGCCTATCGGCATCTATGGAAAAGTATCTGCCTCAACCGTGGTAGCTCAGATGCGTGCGACTTTCCAGAACATCCAGCTAGGGTTGATGGTTGGGATTGGCGGCGGAGTCCCCAGCGTCGACGCGGACATCCGCCTTGGTGATGTTGTCGTGAGCAAGCCAGCCGACATTTACGGTGGGGTGATCCAGTATGATTATGGTAAATCAATCCGCCACGGGAGATTTCAACGCACTGGTTCATTCAATAAGCCCCCGCTGGCGTTTTTGACTACCGTGTCTCAGATGCAAAGTGATAGCATGGTGGGAAGACAGTCGGTGCATGAGGTTATCGGCGATGTATTGTAGGCGAATGAAGATACGAGAAAGCGTTATAGTCGGCCAAGAGAGGACCAGCTGTTCTCGGCCACATATGACCACCAAGATGAGAGTCTGGGGTGTTGCCGATGTGATGAGAGCAAGCTAATTACGCGCCCCCCGCGGGCAAACAACAACCCCCGTATACATTATCGTTTGATTGCGTCGGGGGATCAGGTGATGAAAGACGCCACAATCCGGCTGCGCTAGCTGCTACTGCCTACGCAAGGGTTTTATTGTCGTTTGTTCCTGTCAGCTGCCAAAAGAAGGATCTGCATCTGTCCCCGCAAGACCAGAGCGCGATGCAGCACTGCTGTGTCACTGATATGTCAACAGAGATCGGGTCCCTTCAGCGCCAGAAGGATATTCTGCTCTATGATTCTTACAGCTGGGTACTCCCCACCCAGGAGTTTAGGATCTTCGTCGACTGGAGCGACAGCGGAAAGAGCCTTTTATGGGTAAGAGGCGACGCGGGGAAGGGTAAAACGATGTTGCTAATCGGCGTTGTCCATGAGCTAGAGGCCCACCTTGAACTACACTTTGATGAGTACTGTTTATCATACTTCTTCTGTCGTGGAACAGAAAACAGACTTAATACGGCGACTGCGGTTCTGAGGGGGTTGATATGGATGATCCTGCGTCAAAAGAAGTCACTCATCCTCCATCTCACCAAAGCCTTTACAGATCTTGGACCTGTTCTGTTCGAAGACCACACGGCGTTTTATAACCTCAAGAGAGTGTTTAGTAATATGCTTGAGGATCAAGGCCTGGGAAGGATATATCTTGTGGTGGATGGCCTCGATGAATGTCGGAGGGAAGAGCCGGGCTTGTCGCAGCTTCTGGAGTTGGTGGCGGAAACATCAACCAACAGAAGAGTGAAATGGCTCCTTTCGAGTCGAAATGAATCTTCGATCGATGAAGCATTAGGGACCCACGCGGAAAATGGGCAACTTTGCCTCGAACTAATTGCTGCCTCGGTGTCTGGGGCAGTTAATGCCTATATCAGTCATAAAATGTCGGAGCTCAGAGATCAATATCAGCACAAGCTGCGCCGGAACGGAAACCTCTCGTCCTGGAAGTTAGCGGGGTTGATTCAAAATATTGAACATGTGCTACAAGATAGATCCTATGGCACTTTCCTGTGGGTGGCTCTGATGATCAAAGAGCTCAAGACATGCGCACCCGACAAAGCTCTCGAGAAAGTGAAAAAGGCTCCTCCTGGCTTACACGATCTTTGCACGACGATTCTGCATAATCTCACCAAGCCCGATCATGCTGAAGACTGTGGGAAAGTTCTTTTGATCATGGCTAACGCATATCAGTCTCTTGACTTGACCGAAATAGTAGCGTTGGCGCAGTTGGATGAATTGGCTGCCCATGAATCCATTGTGAGACACTGTGACTTTCTTACCTTCAGGGAGGACATTCAGATTGTTTCCTTCATGCAACAGTCAGCCAAAGACTTCCTTGTTCAAGATCAAGGTCCCGCAGTTATACATGAGATTTTTCCACGAGGGCACAAGGAAGGACATAGCATGATTTTGTCAGCATCCCTTACCGTCATGGAGTCTTTGAAAAGAGACATTTTCGACTGGCGGCATGCTGGTTACGATATCGACGAGGTCGTAGTTCCTCACCAGGATCCACTTGAGTCTCTTCGATTTTCCTGCCTCTATTGGATCGACCATCTCTGTGACATGAAGACCGGACCAGAGGAAGGTTCCCTGCTTGACGAGGGCAGTCACTTTTGGATAGATCGCTCTCTTTACTGGCTCGAGGCTCTAAGTCTCCTGAGAAGTTACTCTGTGGCTGTGCTAAGCACAGCTAATGTCATTGAAATGCTCAGGGTAGGCCACTATGATCTGAGGAAGATTTAACCCCTTCATACTCATTCGATCAGCGTATCTCCCCGAAGCCAATATTTATTTGTTTGGTTGGAGATTTTTACCGATTTACCCTGGCAAACCGAACAGCTATCGAGAAATTTCCCCTTCAAACATATGTCGCGACGCTCATATTTGCTCCAGAACAGAGTGCTATACGTCGACTTTTTAAGCATGAGGAGCCTAGATGAATTACTACCAAGCCAGAGATGGAGCCGGAATGGAGTGCCTGTCTCCAGACTCTGCAAACGGATAATAAAATTCACTCCGTCCCTTGTTCTCCTGATGGGACGCTTATAGCAGCAGGGGGCTATGGCCGCACTGTGAGAATTTGGGAGTCAGCCAGCGGTCACTATCTCAAGACGCTTCATGGCCACGGCGACGAAATCAAGTCGGTCGCTTTCTTGCACAGCAACAATCCGACCGCATCAGGTTCGGACGACTTAATAATCAGAATATGGGATGTTCAGAGTGGCGATTGTCTCAGAACACTTGTGGGACATGCTAAAGGAATCAAAGCAGTAATTTCATCTCCCGGGGATTATCTCTTGCGATGGCGGTGGCATTGTCAAGATCTGGGATTATGATCGCGGTCTGTCTCAGCACACTTGACACCGATGCCAAGTACTCTGGGTTGATCGCCTTGTCACCGGATGGCAATCTACTAGCATCCGGGTATTGTGGTATCAGGATCTGGGACATCCATCGTGGTGAATGTCTTAAGACGCTGGGGGGATGTATTGGCTCTATTAATGCAATCGGATTCACCTCCAATGGCCAGATCATCACTGCCGAGACTCTCGGTATCATGATCTGCGACGTGGAGAGTGGCAAGTGTCTGAGAACCTTTCGACGATCTTACGAAACCTATTCACTGGCTTTGTCCCTTGATGGCCATGTCGTATCCAGCACTGGTGACGGCCGCATCGAAATCTGGAACCCTGAAGGGGATGGTGCTCCCAAGATGCTTCTAGGCCATACCGTTAAAGCCATTTCCATTGCTCTTTCATCTATCGGCAACATCATATCCGGATCCGAGGACTATACCGATAGTGAAGAGGAGGATGAAAAAAGAAATGACCAGACTGGGGCTCGATCCCAGGACCTTATCGGTGTTAACGATACGTGATAACCAACTACACCATCCGGCCAATTGATATTTCAAATTCTTCACTAATGTAATCAGTCCTTGAACAAAGGTCAGTAGCATTGTTGCTCTCAATTACTCGCATGCCCTCGACTCCTCGATTCCTCGCATTTAGATATCCACAAAGTGAAGAGCCACATGGAAGACCCACTTTCCCGAACCAGCGTCTTGACAGCTATCACAACAGCAAATCCAGACAGCAACAGCACGCAAACGCCGAAAGTAACCCTGCGCAGCATTCCTCCTCCCCGCTTTTGTTTTTCTGTGTGGCTGGAGCGGGTTGTTGCGCCGAGTACTGCATGGACTGTGGCGGTGCAGCTTCAGCTGGATAGCCCGAAACAGGGGGATAACCCGAGGCCGGGGAGTAATATGTGTTGTTGGGCGGTCCGGGCGGTGGCGGTGCCGAAGGCGGTGCACTGTATTCAGGGTGATTTGGGGGCGGTCCGGGCTGTGTTAGAACATTAGGGTCAATCAAAACACTCATAGGACTGTAATACGGAGAACGGATGCTTACTGGTGGTTGGTATCGAGTCTCTGTTGTTGACATGTTGTGTGTGTTGCAGTGACTTGATGCTGGTTGAGGTATGATAAGACCTTGTTGTTATGTGGTAGAGGCAGAAATGGGAGAAATACATTCACCGGGAGCACTGCCTACACTTAATATGAGATATGCCGGAATTCTGTAGAACCGTATTGACGGGCGAAGTAAGGTCTAGATATCTCTCTGCATGCGCTAGGCGTCATTCTCAGTCTCCTGAAGTTCCGGAATCCTGCGGAAGTCCCTATGATAAGAACATCGGTGCCTGCGACTTCATAAAAAATGACCTACTTGCTCCCCCAGGGAAACCATAAGGGGATCGGCCCGCCCTAACAGCATAAGCTTTGCGGAAGCACCGTGCCGATTCTCTTGGCTCGGGTTAGGCAGCCATGGTTATGATGTCATGCAGGGAGTAACCCTTTTCCGCCCAGTATATATTGTCAGCTTTTACCCCACCACCGTCTCGGTCTCATCTCACCACAGAACTCCACAATCAGAAAAAAATGCCGCCACCACCACCAATGCCTCGTGTGCCAGAGGGCTGGCGTCCTCAGTTCGATGACAGATACCAGGAATGGTGCGAACACCTTGCCCGAAACAAATTTCGTGCTTCTAGACATTCGCAGAATACTAATGATCCATCCTATAACTAGGTACTATGTGAACCTGCACACAGGACAGTCACAATGGGAGCGTCCCGAACGACCAGCCCAGCCCGACGGCCCTGCACCACCTCCCAACGGCCCACCCCCCAGCTACGATGCCAGCACCGGTCGCAGGACCCCAAACAATGACCGCGGATCCCCATGGCCGCCGAACCGCGACAGCCGAAGCCCCTACGCACCGCAGCCGGGCTACGGCTACAACAACAATAACAACCCGTACCCGCCCCAAAACTACAACACCCCGCCTCCGCAACCCAACCCCTACAACCAGTATCCCAACCAGTACCCCAACCAATACAACAATCCATACCCGAACCAATATCAGAACCCCTACCCGAATCAATATCCCGCGCAGTACGCTCAGCCGCCGATGCAGCAGCAACCACAGCCCCAGCCGGAGCAGAAGAAGAAAAAGCGGGGGCTGGGGATGGGTGGCGCCGCGGCATTGGGTATCGGGGGCGGCCTGCTGGGAGGATTGCTTCTGGGCGAGGGGATCGAGCATCTGGAGCATGATTTTGATGGCCCGCCTCCTGGGGATTTTGGCCCGGGGCCTGATTTTGGTCCGGGGCCGGACGATGGGTTCTGGTGAGGGTGATGCATTGATGGGTTGTATAGCGATTTTTTCTCCTGGATAGGATAATGTTTGTGGACAGGGGATCACATTACAAAGACAGGTTTGGGATTCGTGACGGGATCTATGAACTATTTTTATGAAATATTAATGATATTTTGCGAAATTCTTGCACTTCTGTCCGATTTCCTACTGATACAGTCGCGGAACGCCCTTTTGTCGGAGGTCCGTCACTGCATCTGTCCACACGCCTGGTCGGACGGTGGTTACCGGCCAGCCCGGGACATGAGGATACCCTTACAAAGCTTAACTAGGATAGCCAGTTGCGCATGTTTCATCTAGTCAATGTACAGTACAGACTGTACAATAGGCTTGCGGATTCACGTCCGCTCGCGACTAGACAGGGCCTGTCTGTCACTCCAGGAGAGGAAGCCGGATACCGTACAACTCCAGGTACCGAATCCCTGCGGCTGGTGAAAAACGCCGCGAGGACAGCTGAATAAGTTTCGAAGCGAGAAGTTTCAGATGTAAGTCACAAAGAATAGCCCTCCATTCTGTATCTCTGACAGGCAGGCGTACTTCGACATTCTCCTTCAACTCTTTTAATGCTGATATGTTCCTGGTGAGCCCGGATGTCATGTTCGGGCAGCTACACTTCCCCTTCTTGACTTATTTCTCAGGATTGGTTTCGATATCCGCTAGATTGGCAACTGATTCCCCGTTATCATCGAGGATTCCTGCAAGGTTTGAATAGAGAACAAGGCACCCTGCTCTTCTTTGTTGCTGGTCCTGAACGACCCTGGATGTGCTTACTGAAGGCTGGGAGGTAAAGGGACTATGGGCCCGTGAGTCGCAGGAACTGACATAATGTTCTGTATGTATATACCACACAGCCCTTGACGAACAAGGCTGGCATTGCGCGCGGTGGGATGGGGGCAACAGGTAGAGTCCACGCGGCCTCGGGGGCACCAGTCTGGTCTTTTGTTCGTTTGTGAAACGTTCTGAGAGATCTCAGTGGGCTGCAGCCAGTTCAGACCAAGTTCCGCCTTCGGTCATTTCTAGGCTTTCATGGTCGTCCTGAATGCCGACGAACCAGGGTAGAAGTGTCCTTCGTAACTTAACTTCTTACACTGTGTGGTCTGCCAAGCATATCTAAGATACACAAACATAAATGAGGAAAACCTTGAGTATAAGCTTGAACGGTCTCAGACTTCCTTGTCGAGAATCGGTGGTTGGGAAGAATGAAGAGAAAGGAGAGACTTGGTGGAGATGCAAGATGGCGAAGGGATAAGATAAAAGGCTGGAAGAGATGTAGATGAGTTCTCAATGGAGTAGGGTGAATCACGATGCCATAGTCAGTGAATAATCGGAATGGAAGAAGAGTAGACAAGGGCTCAATGGATCTGTGAATCAAGCCAGTGGACCTAGTTAATAGGTCTCTCTTAAGGAAAGATAAATGTGAGTGAAGAAGTCTTGTCTATTACAGGTTCCTGTGTGAATAAATATTATTTTCTCTACCCATATCCCACCTCTCTTCCTTCTTCCACCTTTTTTTTTTCTTCTTCCACCTCTCTTCCTTTTCCCGCCCCTCTTCCCATCTTACATTCTTCTTTTCCTGTCTTCAACTCCTGCAACCTATGGTATACGCTATAGTCTGGCATTTAGCTAGACTGCTTGCATGCCGTACTGGGAAAAACTACGTTTTCATGAAGGCTGAGATTATATTCTATTGTCTAATGTGCCTAAATATTGGTATCTTACTAAATCATGTGCTTTTCAACTATCCTTGATGACATCGACCAGGCATCGGCTATAAGGAATTAATGAAGGCTTTTTTGGAACCTTAAGCCATCTACCAGCAGCTGACGCCCTGAGAAGAACCCCGCCAGATTGAGATAGAACAGCCAGCTACGGCTGGACATTTGCTGCTATTACCCTGATGAATGCAGCTCACCCTAAGCATTACACCCCTGATCTCTCAGTTTACATGGTGTATCCGAATCACAGTCGAATATGCTTAAGCAAGAATCAAGCGCTCCCTTGCCTCTAGAATGGAAGGCCTAATTGGGCCGCTTCGCTACCTCCTCAACTGAGTAGGCAAGTTGCACCTGTCTATGAGAGTCTCCCAGCTCGCATACGTAATCAGAACGACCTACGAAGAAACAATCTTCTTGAAGCAGAAGATGCCTCCTGCAAACAAAATACAGCACTGCGCTATGCATATCTCTCAGGTGATCCGAAGGTCCAACACTCAGAGTATGACTTTAAGACAGTGCTTTTTCCATCTGGCAGGCTAATTGCTATGAGATTCTTGACGTCCTCCGGAAAAGTTGACTGTGTTACAGTATACCTGGTTGAAAATATCTATGAATATTGAGCCGATTACCATTGCTTGATCGGAAGAGGGAAGCTGCGAAGAAGTATAGACACTCCGCTTCACAACTGACATGTGAGGCTGACTGTTCGCGTTGCTTTCTGAATCACCTTAAGAAAGTCCTTCAATCCTATTATCGACTTGCGTGACCTCCTCGTCATCTGGGAGTTGTCCACCAATACCACAATTCCCTCAAACTCTACCAGACTTGTATCCACTACCAATTCCAGAAGACATTGTTCAAATGTTAGCTGGAAAGACACATATCACGGTTGTAGACGCTTGTACTCGTTTGTACCAATGGCTAGTCAACCGAAACTAACGAAATCGTCATGCAGTTGTCACACATCGTGGCCGGGAAGTCTTCCATGTCATAATCATGGGATTCACTATGTACAACGCCAAGTGGATTTGAACCTACAGGGATACAAAGCATTCTGTCGTGCCTACGTTGACGATTTGCTGAATGCCTTGAACAGTTTAAAACACGTTGAACACCTTCACCCCACCACTAGCGGCGTCTGACCACCTTATGGTGTTCGTCTGTCAGACTGCTGGATGTACAACGCGGTTAAGAAGCTGACCCCAGCCGAAAGATCAGCAAGATATCCAGGCGATTTCGACACCGAGAGTCGAATTCGTGCAAACAGGGTTCCTTTCGGCTTGTCTTTGGCCGCCTGCAGAACTTGAACATTAAGCTTGAACCTCGAAAAGCATATGTCGGCTTTCCATCCGTGCAATTACTAGGCCAAAGGGTACAGAGTTTAAGACTAGTAACACCCCAAGACAACTTGGCAGCCATACGAACCCTGGAATGCCCGAAGACAATTGCCTCTTTGGAACAATATCTTGGTCTTAAAAGCTTCTCAAGACACCGCATTCCACGATACGCCGAACGAGCGTAGCCGCTTTAAGACGGAAAGGTTCTACTCCTCAAGTCCTCACCAAGCAGTCAAGGACAAAGCAGGGAAGTGTATTCCAATTCAGCCACTTGGACACCGACGCAAAAAGAATCGAAAGCGTTTGCAGACCTGCAAGCCGAATTTGGATTCTCTGTATTATGCAGAACCGTTGCCTGTTCATCCCGCTCGGGTTATTTCCGATACTGTCACTTTTATCAGTAAAATATAAGAAGGTTGTTATATGTGTTCTCTATCTTTGCTGCTCTGCCCTGCCCAGTTGAGGTTGTTTCTAACTAAACGTTCTGTTTGCAGGTCACCGTTCCAGATATCCCTCTTCTACAGACGCCCTGTCGACCTGACGCACAACTAGGAAGTACAAGATGTATCATATGAATACAAACCACACTCCCAGCACGGATCCGAAAACTATTCCCTGCATTTTCCCTCAGCTCAGCCACTGCCTCTGGGAGACAAGCCATTCTTTTTCACGGCTATATGGCAGCATACCAGTGTCGATACAAGCCTGGTCTCAACAACACAACACCCTGAGAGAGCCGGTACGTGATCGTCACGCAACGAAAGATGAACTGACTCAGTTTTTGGGGTCGCATAACCTACTCCGGGAAAGTAGGATTTCGCACACGGCTTAACTAAGAATGGAACGAAGCTACTTCAACAGGTTATGAGCCCTCATGCCAACCAAAGTTATCGAAAGTGAGACAGGTTTGTCCAAAACAATATCGAAAATACAGACACATTGGAGAAAAACTACGTTGGAGATTTAATTTTACTGCCGCAAAGCGTGTGTGGAATAATGTCCAGGACATTCTCCAATCGTACGTCACGGCGCATAGATTCATCTCACTAGCAAAAGACCAAACAGCAAGCTTCATACCTTGAGACCAAGCCGAACAATGGCAGAGGCTATCCTTGTTTATTAGCCAGGACAAACATGCCCCCATGCCAGCCGTATGCCCGATTCAGCCGACGGCCAATTCGCCGAGCCATGATATATGGCATTTTTCCGCTAGGGTGCGGTTCATGGAACTGGATACTTCGATCCAGATTGAAGCCAGTGGGCTGGAACTGCCAGACAGAGCCGTAGAGCTGGATGCCCGCGAAGCCGATTGACTTCATAGCATAAAGAAAGTCATTCCAACGCACCTCGCCCAGCGTCGACGTCAGCTCGGGATCATGGAACAAACTCCGAAAGACCTTGAGGGAGCGCGCATCCACGGAGAACGCTGGCTGAGTCTCTGCACCGCTGGTTTCCAGGGGCGCTTCGGCGTCATGGTCCTGTGTGGAGGCGGACCGTGCTGTTCCGCGAGTTTTGACTTTGGTCTTGGGTCGCTGAGCTGTGCTCTTGTCATCGGCATTACTTGTGAATAGCCAATTGGGCAGGAATGAGGTGTACGGGTTGGTGCTATCGCTCTTGGACTGCGATGCGGGTTGCGGTCGAGGCTGAGGCGTGGGCTCCTCCCATTCCGGTGTTCGTTGCAGACTGCGCGATTGAGAGAAAAGGACCTCGTCAATCAGCCTCCAGAACGCATCCAATCTGGCTTCCGCCTGCCGTAGTATCGCCACGTTCTCCTTGGTCCGGCGCTTCTCAATCGGATAAACGAATTTCCCTGCAGACGGGTCTCCTAGAACGGCAGCCTGGCTGGCGCCTTTCGGCTCAAGAATCGCTTGAGCGATCCTGTCAGTGATCTGACACCATGGCTGAATCATGTTCTTGTAATCTTCCTCAAACCAGTTGCGTGCCACGCTGTTGTGAACCCAGCTTCGCGCCCATGGCTGATACAGTATCAATTGCTCGAGACACTTCGCAAGGATCGAGAGATCGCCGATGAGGGCAGCCAGCCAAGGCGTAATCAGATCTCGTGCCCCTGGCTCGTTCTTGAGCAGACGTTCGACCTCATCTATGATCAACGGCACACCGGCTAGTCTCAATACCAGCTGGTTATCGAACATGTTCTCAATTAGCCAGAGCAACTTCTGCTCCACGGCTGTGGGCTTGGCTCCAGGTCTCGCCCCGACAACACCTCGTGCAAAGTCCGGATCATGGGGATGTCGGCGCACGAAGAGTCTGCGGAAGGGCGGGGAGGAACGGATGGTCACTCGCAGCATGTACAGTGGATCGGCGATTGCTTTATTCAGATCGTGACGAAACCGCAGCAAAGCGGTCAGGAACTCCTCGGGTAGATCCTGCGATGGTGAGATCTGGGCTGCGTATTGGTTCTGCAGGGATACCAGAGCCCGGGCTTGTTGGCTTAGCTGGGCAAAGGTCTCGACATTCACGTAGGCGTTGCCAACCACGGGCGCCAAAATCCGCCCCCAGAACACGGTCTTCTGGCTGTGGCTCAGATGGGGATGGTCGCGGCCCTGCAGATCCTTCAGCATTCCGTGGCGATGCTCTTTCAGGTCGAGGACGGCGCTGGCAAAATATTCCGGGTCTTCGCGCAGGGCCCAGAGGTGGTCTTCCGCAGCCGAGGCGCGGGCTGCAAGGAGCGACTCGATGCGACTCAGGTCGAGCTGTGCAGGCACACGATAGGGAGCTTCTGCTGCCATCAGTCTTAGAGATTCGAAGCTGCTCAGCTCACTCTCAGACTTGACTTGTGGTGGGGGGAGAATGGGGAAGGCGTCGAAGTCGTCCACGGGAATATCTGGAAGCAATTGGCGGCAGCACTGTACAAGGAAGGTCAACAGTCTCGCTTGGGCTTCTAGAACCAGAAGGCCGTGCCCCGGCGTGAATTGCTTGAGTACCTTGCGCCCGAACCCTTTATCATCATCACAGATGACAAGCTCGCCATACTGGCGAGTGTTCTCATCGAACCCGTTCAGAACCATGTAAGAAGTACTCTTACCCGCTAGATAGTCCGGAGCAAGCATTTGGCTCACCAGCCCAAAGTTCATCGCGACCGCGTCGGCCGCCGCAAAGGTTGACGGTGGATAACGGCCTCTGGAGTTGAGAAGCAACAATAGGGCCTTGGGGCCTACCAGGTCCTCCTGATTGATATTTGGCCACACAAGGCAGTCACGGAACGGCGGCCTCTTCTCTAGTTTCCGGTTGCACGCTTTACGCCAGACATCAAGATCGGGGCGATGAACGACCGGCATATCTGGCCAAGCCTCAAGCAGGACTTTGAGTCTCTGCTGGCGTGTTCGCTTCAACCATCGCTTTGCGAGAGTGGCCTCGTGGCGCTCCAGTATCTTGTGCAGAGTGTCATAAGCGGTATAGATCGTCTCGGATCTCGCCTCGATGTCTTGTCGGATATCGCTCTCGGATCTGAACTTCAAATCCTGTCCTTGTCTAGAGCAAGCCAAAGTCAGGTTCGCCATCAGCGCTGTCTCCTCAGTCCAGTCGATGTCGTCAGGGACGTGATTGATGTCATCGGTAATCTGGACGTGCTCCAGATGATAGTGATATTGATCTTCCGTTGTTGAAACCATTTTCAAAGACGGATCTGATTTTCTTTCTGGCTATCAATAAACCGGGGTTGTGGGATTTGAGTCTGATGTTATCTCCCTATGAATCTTTATATACCGAACGTGAACGTGTGACTGCCTACCCTGCCGCCTGGTACTGCCGCGTGCCCTGATGGTGATATTCACAAACATCAGGAATTAACATGAACATTTCGCCACAGGAGCGGAGATTTACACACAAATCACGAAGTTAATAAACCATACATCCCTCTTTCTGGTGACTATCATATTGCTGGACCATTTCTTTGTACCTTCTAGGTGTTTTACTCTTCCAACTACTCACGCCCCTGCTCCGATTCTTGCCCTTTTTCTACCTTCATTAGGACAATGGAGCCATCTCATAGAGTGGTGATGTGGCGTCTCTCGGTGCCGCTTGTACATGCTAAGCATCAAGTTGTGGGGTACAAAACGGGGCTGCTAGCACGAAACATGGATGACCACTACGGCCAATATGGCTTCCTCACCATCTACAAGAGGACCTGGTTTGTCAAGCATACCGGTGACAATACTTCGCCATGTCGTCTCCAATTAGCGGCATGGCTTATAACTCCGCTACTTTGAGGGACTGCTTTCTGGCAACTGCTTTGGGGGCTGCAGATGCTACTGGGAGTCGGTACAAGCAAGACTCTGGTCATAATCTGGTGAGCTTCTGATCCTTCCCAAATTATAGCCTTAGTGCTAAGTTTCTTTTGGATAGACGCTCTCCGCACCTCGGCCACTGGAATTGTTAAAATGTCAGCTAATAGATCTTACACTTGATGGCACGATCAAAACTCTATTTTCCAGGATAAATTGTCCTATCTCTCCAGGAACGATATGTTAAATTTGACAAGCCATGATCGGAATCACCCAGCTTATACCCATCGAAGTTCAGATCTGGCGAATGTTGATGATAAGTGTGGACGTTGTCACCGACATTCGGTGCGAGACTTACCGGAGCAGTAATATCGACCTACACTATTCTACGCGGGTCACCACAAGGGGAGATTATGCGGGAATCCAGCAAGTGGTACGTCTACCAGACTGAGTACTGCTGGAAAGCACGGGTGCAAATCAAAGCTCGATGAAGCCCTGGAATTGCCTAAGGAATACAGTCGGAAATCAGGAATCAAGACTCGAAGCAGATCGCAAAAGACTGGCGCAAGCCAAAGATTGTGAACGCAAGAAGCGTCTATAATTTGCCTCCGACTCGGACTCCCCCAAGCCATAACCTGAGTTTGATCTCGACTATGGCACAGTCTTGTGTTTCGATAATGCGGACCTTACCGACGAGCTGGCACTTTACGCCTGGATGAGAGACAGACACTTAGCAATAGCAAAGAAGCTAAAAACACTCAAAGCTACGGCTGCCGCGGGAATGGAGTATATGCGGAAGATTAAACAGCATATCAATTCCTTCGGAGCGAAGATGATAGGTACAAGAACGGATTCACAAGATGGAAGACTTCCGAGACCAGCCTGGACCGGAAACGATCCAAGCAGGAGGCAAAATGTGTCGCACACGACAAGTGCGAGAACTTCCATATCCTTATGGACTACTCAAAACCGTAAATCGATGCCATCGCTTTCAACAGTTCACGGTTGGCCAAACACGCACCGTTGATAATGGCAATCTGAACATAGGGCCTGATGGAACGATATGAAGGAATGATCTGCTAAGCGCAGTAGCCTAGAAGAGCAACTCCATCGGTGGTGAAACTTCCTGTTAGCAAATAGATAAAAAGATCAGGAGAGTGTCGAAGAATCACCAGACGAAGTGAGTGAACTGTCCCCCCGCAAGAAGATTAAACGGCAGGATGGGGGCTATCTTCCGCGAGAGTAATTCCAGACTTTCTTCGCAAAATACTGTGCCCTCAATAACGAACTTAGAACCCTCATGAACTCAAATAACTCGAACGGAGTGGATAACGCTTCTCTTAAAGAACTGAAGCAGAAGATAGTGACATTGTACAATTAATACTGGATCCAGCTTCTCATAGGCCTGGTCGAGATCTTCGGAGATTAAGAATACCTTTCATTTCCTGAATGTGTGCTGTTATTTCAAGGTCAAAGGTTTGCACTGGGAAAGCTATTTGCCGGCTATATCAGCCAAGCGTATGCTGACAATCACAACTACCACTTATTGAGAAAGTCACAATGATAGATTGTAATGATAAGCCAGACGTGCCTTGCAGACTGTTGTATTGAAAGCAGAGGCGTGCACATATCATCAAAATAATAGGCATGTTTCTTTCTTTGTGGTTGTCAAAGTTATTTGTCCGATGCGATCAGGCCTAAATTCATTGTATAGAGGAATATGGAAGAGTTGCTACCCTGGAGCGTGCGATTGACTTTCAAGTTAGAGATCAGAGTGACCGTCCGTTCTCACTAGGGATCCTTGGTTACTGCCCTAATTGGCAACCTCATGCGTCCATCACAGGTTTTCTTTCTGGGGAAATGATGACATCGCGAGAGAAGAAGGGAGAGGAAAGGAAAGAAAAAGTCTTCAATCTGTAGATAACAACTGCACATGTGTTGGGATAGTTCCCAGTGAGTCACGAAAGGATTGTGCTAGAGTCAGCAAGGTCTTCTTGCTCCATCCGTGACCTTCTATCTTCATTCCATCTGTTTATCAACTCTATCTATTCATCAACTGCATCTACTCATCAATTTTATCGTTGAATCAACTCCATCCACCAGCCAACATGTGTGCTCCCATCATCCGCGACCCCTTCGAACACGAGGAGGACATCGAGCAGGACGAAGACATCCGCGACAGCGACCCCATCAACCAAGAGGCCGCGGCGCTGCGAATGTGGCGAATGGACACAGCCCCACCTGTTCCCAACCGGCCTGACCAGGAAAGTGAAGAAGATTACAGGGGCATGGACGCAGAAACCAGAGATGACCAGGGTGGAAGGGAGAGCCAACTTGATAGTAATCGAGCTGGCCGGTTTATAGCATTGTTCTCCCCAGAGATCTAAACTCTTTTTCGAGCCTACCTTCTAGGTCAATTGGTCAGCCGATGAATCAGTATAGCTCTGAAGATGAGGAGGATGATTGTGATGAGGAGGAGGAGGATGAGGACGAGAATGAGAATAAACAAGAAGGAGATGAAGCGGATGAAGAGGAATACGGCGACGCTGACAGCGACCCTGACCACCACCAACACCGATATGGGGAAGATGAAAATGTGTGCATCCTCCCCGAATGCCCTGAAAGACTTCTCCTCATTCAAGAACGGCTAGTGATCCGCCGTGACTTCTTCAGCGACGCGATGGTGATAATACATGGCAAATATGCGCACTTTTTGGATGTGTTCGAGACGGGGCGCAGGGACATATTCGTCAGTGACATAACCTCCCCCTGATTTGGAAAAGGAAAACTAACAAATGGAGTATGTCAGCTTCTGAAAAGCCGTGGGAGAGTGAAGACGCGCGACTGGAGTGGGCAGGGTTCTTGAATCAGATACCTGAATTTGTTTGCTGTGATGCCGGTAAGCCTTGGCTGTTCTCTTTTGCCTTTCCTCATACACCTATAACGTTGTCAACATTCTGGTCATATGCTGATTCTACACAGACAACAATCTCCCTTGCAGCATAGACGATATCAATGACTTTTACGCCCTGAGGGCTTGGATGCTGGAGCTGCTGCCCTGGGTGGTTGAGTCAGCCCCTTTGCCTATAAGGTTAGCCTCTCGAGAAATCAACATTTAAATACTGCTGGACGGTGTCAATGGCAATTGGTAGCTACTCTGGAGAGCAAAATGTCATAGACTGGGCTGTTATAGAGGACGGGAAATTACAATTTGTCTTGGCGTGCAATAGGCGCACTCATAAAACAGCCATATCATGCCTATGGATGTATGACCTTTTGTCTGGCAGACAGGAAAATAGCAACAGGCTACTGCTTCGCGAGGTCATGATCATAGAATCCACGGACTGCCTTATTGTACTTTTGAGGGCTTCCTGGCGTGCTGAAAGCAACCCTATAACCCCATCCTGTATCCGCACCGCAATACAAGTGGGTCGCAACGGGAATCGAACGGCCTACACAGAGGACAATGCGACAGGAACCACAGGGCAAAAACAAAAAGGTAAAGCCCAACGCGGGGGTTGAACCCGCAACCTTGAGATTAAGAGTCTCACGCTCTGCCGATTGAGCTAGCCGGGCTGGTTGGTGATAGATGCTTGTTTTTAGAATACTATATCCTTGTGTTGTGCATACGGTGGTGTACATACCCGCGTATTTCAGACTCACTTGGTTCAAACGCTAGTTCCTTTGTATAGGGCTGGGAATAGATGCTTTAGGCATCGGTGTGACTTACTAGCCCCTGTTAGATAATGTTTCCCTGTTTGCTCTAATATCTGCAGTGGGTGGCTAGGCCATCCGCTGAGGGGAATTTACCCTGCGGTGTGTCGTGAGTGAATATAGCCCCGGCTCAGTATGTTTACAAAAAATATATTCACCAGGTAGCTAGAACCATCTCCAGCCTAACACCCCCATTTCTTTTTCTCCAGAGCAAAATATCTTCCCACCATGCTCAACTCACCCCTCCCACTCATCTTCTTTACATCTCACTCGACGGAGCGTCATTCCATCGACTAGTTTCGCTCATCATTCCGCCACCTCAACATCTCACCCCACTGAGCTCTATCGCTCGGGACTTATCTCACTGACGCAGTAGCGAAGCAATCCAGACAGTCATCATGGCAGAGCCCAGCATCCCAGTATCTCAGGCATCTGAGGTGAGAGAGATCAGAAAGGAAATGCGCGCTCTCCTCGACCGGCTCGATACTCTCGAGGGCTTGAACACCACCAACGCCAAGGATGCTAATATCCCCCGACACTCACGGCGACCACACCCAGCCAGAGAGGGCGATAGAGGTAGGAAAGAGTGTCCCTTGCCCTGGGAGATGGGGGCATAACTGACCCAAAGACCACAGATAATGGCAGCTCCCACAACCAGCACGGAGGACGTTTTGAAATGGTTCAACATGACGATGAAAAATGTCTTTGATGATGAACTTATAGACTTCACGGCTAATGGATTACCAAGCATGTTGTGTGAGCTCTATAGCCCCCCTACCCCTCCCGGCAACCAAACTACTGAAATCCATAGCTAACCACCAGATTACCATCTTCTCTCTTCCAGGGAAAAATTTGTAAGCGATCCGAGAGGCTCAGTATAAGCCACAGGATCACTCGACGATCCGGCTCCAAGCGGAGTCCTTCATCGTGCCGGCACTCATCGAAGCTTACAGCACCGCCAGTGGAGACCTCTTCGGTGGACTGGATGAGCAAGCGCTGCTGAAGAGAAAGGAATTATCCCCGTTCGGCCCGGTGACTCCAGGACCTGCTTCGTCGTCGTCGTCGTCATCATCATCTTCATCACCACCACCACCTTCATCATCTTCTTATGCCGCGGTGTGTGGAATGCGCCTGCTTCAAGACCAGCCAATTACTAGCGTCATCGATCATGCCGGGCCAACCGGCACCAAAAAGCTGCGTCTCCGCGCCACCCCGATGCTTCAGATGGCCCATGTCTTTGAGAAGAAGGACGAGGACAACCCCACTCCCTTCTTCTTGGTGACCGCCGCACCCGACAGTGACAGTCGCGCAATGGCCGATTTCACCCTGGGCCTGGCGATTGCGTACCACAACAACAAACTGCGAGGAAAGAAATCACGCATCCTCAGCGGCATGCTCATGACTGCGGACTCGGTTCTTTTCGCGGAAGTGTGTGACGACGTCATCTATCGCAGACCCCCAATTCAATTGGCCAAAGGGAGGATGTACGCAGGGTCTACATCGACCTCGCCCGAATTGTCACCAACGGTGCAGTGTTTGGTTTCTCATGGACCCAGGGCTAGCGATACAACGACGCATTGTGATCAAATTGGACCTCCAGATGTAACTAGCTCTCCCAAACCCAAGAATGGCAGATGCAAGAAGAAAGGAAGTTGTTGTTAACATGCGACCCTGTTCCAACTCACGCATGCCAAACAAATCATATAACATATGGAAGCCCCGGGTAGCTCGAGGACATTTACACCAACATGCTGTATATCCACCTAGGATACAGTTATATTCTTTTTTTCTCGAATATTGTCAATCAGAATCCTCAGGGGAACTATGGTTTGTTTGCAGGCCGAAGGACTTGCCATCTAGATCTATCCTTCAGGAATATCTTCCATTATTCTTCTATTAGGCTTATTGAATTATCTTAAGGACCATCTATCCCCCTCATGCATCTCACACTTTGTAGTCATTTCCATCCCAGGTGTGATAACCGACACTCTTCCCACGAAAGGAAACCATTCAACATTCTCTGTGGCGCTATTCTCAACGCCCCCGTCCCCCCCCCCCCCGCCCCCCCCCCCCCGGGCGCATCTGCAATATTCTAAGTCTCCAGTGTCTGTACTGTACTACCCAGCAGCCTATCCATTAAATCAACCACAAGGGGCAAGCCACCGAAGGCGTCGTTGCAGCGCCCAGCAGGACTCGTACTTACGTCTTCGTCCTTGTGGATTGATTTCTCCTCTAGGCACCGTTGAAGGAAGCTATAGGCTCCTTTACGCACCTTTCCAACAACCCTTCTAGGCAGCAGTCTACCTACCTTGCTGTCCCAAAGCCTGTCTATATGGTTTGGTGAAGCCTGTTGGATGTAGCTGTTTAAGGGTCTTTTCAGGCAGCCGTTCGAGCGTCTGTGTAAGTATTTCGTTCAAGTATCATTTTGAAAATATTTTGTAACATCTGCTCAGATCTGTCTGAGCATCTCGCTGAGCTTTTTTCTCTTCTTTTGTTTTCTTTAAGAGCACCTTCTCAAGTACCTTGTCAAGCACCTATTTCAGCACCTTTAACATCGTCCTGTACAAACATACATGTATTGAGCAAAGCTAGCGCTGCGAAAATAGCCCCGAATTTGAGTCGTCCGACACCCAAATCTCAATCCTAGTGTCGTTTTATATGAAGGAAAGTATCCCAAAGTAAGCTTCGCACCTAATGCTTCCAGCACGTATCTACAACGCACATATCCTCCCACCATGCCCAAAAGACCGATCGATCAAACCTTCCGCCTCCGCCGAAACTGCACCATCGGCCCATCCCGAATACTGATATAACTATCCCACAACCCAAACACCTCCCGCTCCTGCTCCCCCTCCCCCTCCACCTCCTCATGGTTACCACTAGTAGCAGTACACTGAGCCACCCCCGTCCGATCCCCCTCCACTAACCTCAAATCAAACAGCCACACCGTCCTCGCAATAACCAAATACAGCTCCAACAACGCAAAGTTCTTGCCCGCGCAGCTCGTCGTCCCCACCGAAAACGGCAAACAGCTCGCCCGTGCCCGCGCCACCTCCTCCGCATCGACCCCCGCCGCGGGGTCCACGATCCAGCGCTCGGGACGGTAGACGTCCGGATCCGGGAAATGCTCCGGGTTGCGATAGAAGCTCCAGTGCGCGACGCCGACGGTCGTGCCTTCGGGAATAAACTCGCCGGCGATGGTGATCCCGCCCGCCAGAACAGTGCGGGGCAGCTCCGACGAGCCGGCCGGGGTGATGCGCATGGCCTCGTCGACGCAGGCGCGGAGGTACGGGCACGACGAGAGCAGAGCGGGGCCGCCGCGGATCTCGTTGGCCGAGGCGAAGGTGGACCGGATCTCGGAAACTAGCTTGCGGTAGGCGTGCGGTGTGCGCACGATGTAGAAGAAGAAGCCCGCCATGATCACGGAGGTGGTGTCGGAGCCGGCGATGGTTAGCATGATGGCTTCTGCTTCGAGGGCCGCGCGCGTGTAGCCGGGGAGCCCGGTGGCTGGGTCTTTGGCGCGCAGCAGGTAGTGTAGCATGTCCGGCCGGGTTTCGCCGTGGGCTTCGAGCTCGAGGCGCTGCGCGAGGGATTCGTCGACGAAGTTGTAGAGGAAGCGGACGTTGGGGGGCGTGAGTTTGCTGAGCACCCAGTCGAGGCCGCGGGGTTTGAGCCAGACGAGGGCGTTGAGCCAGGGGCAGTGGCCCAGCTGTTTGGGTTCAGCACATCAGCTAGAGTGTCAGCAGGTTATGCAGTAATATGAACGTACTGGGTATAGTATGCGTAGGAAGAATGCGATGATGTGTGGAATCTGACGATACTCATTGGCCCCAGGTTCTTTTGTGTTGACAGCGCGGCCGAAGCAGAGATCACACAGCACATCCAAGACCAAGTAATCGCACACCTCTGACATTTTTCGAGGTCGCGACCAGTCCGTCCCTTCGTCGTCGACGAGAAGCTCACACCAACGGGCCACGTGCGACTCCAGCAGCGGCTCCATCGAGCGGAGGGATTTGTCGGAAAACACCGTGTTCAGAACTCGTCGTTTCCGAGCATGCAGAGCGGGGTCGGTGCCCGTAAGCGTACTCTGATCATTCTTGTGCCGTGTCATCATGTCATAGAACTGAGATCGCTTGACATTCGCTCTGGCGTTGAAGATGTCGCGATAGGCCTCGGGTGTCTTGAAGAGCAACCCATCGGGGCGGAAGCGAACCACATCGCCATGGATTTCATGGTTGCGGGCAATCCACAGGTGTCGTTTCCCGGTAAGCGACCAGTAGAAGTCAGGCAAGGACGATATCCTTGCAAAAAAAGGTCCCGGGAATTTCGCCAAAGGGCTGAAGTACAGGTTGTACACAACTAAGCCCACTGTCTATTTAGAGGCGTCAGAAACCGACGCTGAAGGGGCGGAAAAAGGGCCAAGCGGAGGAGTCAACAAACGTAGCAGAGTAACAAACTGGTGGTAACCAGGATCCAGTGATCTGACACTACATTTGCCAGACCAGCGACGAACATGTTTGCGCGCACTGTGTTGGCCGGCAGATGTTCTCGGAGCTGACGCGAAGTCAATTTTATACGTTGCCTCCCTTGCCGACAGGTCAGGTTGGGCCCCCACACAAATTCAGCCAGACACGAGTCCTTTGCATATCCGCCACTCCTTCAGCTGAGAGAAATTCTTTGTGGCGCAAGAATGCTTGGCGAACGCCTATGGCGTTCGTATCTGAGGGTCGGCGTCGGCTATTCCGGCCAAACCTTGGGCAGATGATCCTCCCCGGCCGCTTCCTAGCCCTATTTTTGCTTTTTAGTCTGCAGACATGTGGGGTCCCTTCAGCTTAGCCGCAACCATTGTAGACCCAAAGTCGGTCCAGACTTCGGACTTTCGATCACCAGTCCGGATATAAATCATGCACATCGCCGCGATGAACATCTCGATGGAAAACCGTGTTCTGCAGCGATCGACAAGCCCTCCGCCATCATGCCGCTGTTGAAATCAGACCAAGCTGTTGTCAAATCAGAATGCCGTGCACTATACGACCAGATATGGCACGCAACTTCACCGACACTTGAATTGGCGCAGTCGGCACTGATGCAACCTTCACCACTATCATTGACTCTCGAGGAACGGACGCGACTCACATATCGGAGAGCAAGGGCGTTGGCGGACGCACATAGTACGACCTCACCCCAAACCCCCAACGCCCCAACCCCTTAAGGCCGCTTGGAGCAACGTGACTGACTGAAATAGAGTTGATGGTGAAGGATGTGGCGTATTTGACCCCGAGTTTCTGGAAGCTACACACGGACATGATCGGTGCTATGGACGGTGGCGCGGTCACCCTGATCAGCATCCAGTATAACCTTTTTGTCGGCACGGTCGCTCCGTTTGCTGCCACGAGGCCTGACTTGGCACTGATCGTGCAGCAGGCGATGAAATTCGATATCTCGTGCGTGCCCCATCCTCTTCTCTTCGATTGATTCGATGGAGTCAACTCATAGACCACTCTTAGCGCACAATTCATGCTTACCGAGGTTGGGCATGGCTTGGATGCACGGAATCTCGAAACCACCGCGACCCTGCTTCCAGATGGTGGCTTTGAGCTGCACACGCCGTCAAAGGCCGCTGCCAAGTGAACAACCCCAAACCGTTTAAACTTCTCTCGAGTTAGTACTAAGACCTGCACGCAGATGTATGCCTCCGTCTACCCCTCGCAGCGGCCTCCCCACGATCGCTGTGGTTATTGCCCGGCTCATGGTCGCGGGCGAGGACAGAGGAATCCGTCCATTCCTTGTCCCCATCTCAGACGGTACTCAGATGTGCACGGGAATCACTTCAAAGTACGTATCCGACGGGATATCACCGACTATCCTTACTCACACCAAGGACCACACAGGGCCCTCCCACCCCGAACGGGCGCCCAACCAATTGACCACGCCTTGACATGCTTCGACCGCGTGCAACTGCCCTCGTCCGCCTTGCTAGGCAACATCGAAAAGTCTCGAAGTGAACGCGATGATTTCCTGGCGACCATCCACCGCGTATCGGTAGGGACGCTTTTCCTTTCCAGTGGATGCATCCCACTTCTGAAAATTGCCGTCTACAACGCCAGCAAATTCAGCTTCCGACGGAAGATCCTCGGCCATGATGGGCAGCCGATGCCCGTAATCGATTTCCGCACGCAACACCTCCCCATCCTTCACGCCATTGCACGAGTCCATGTCCTGCAAGCTTTCCTCATTCAGGCGGCAGTTGGATTCCGGGACCCGAAGGTCGATCCGCGGGTCCGTCACGCAATTGCAACGGCGTTCAAAGCAGTGGCTATTCACGCCTTCCAGAGCAGTATCAAAGCCCTAAACGAAGGTTGCGGCTGGCACGGGTACTATGAGCGCAATCAAATTCTCCAAGCGGAAGTAAGTAGCGCCGTCGTTTCCAGCTCGAACGACTTCTCTAACCTCATTTCTCCAGCTGGAGTTTCGTGCCGTGGGCACAGCTGAAGGCGATATCAGAGTTCTTGCCATCCGTATGTTCAGTCCAACGCAATTGGTGATTACCAACTGATTGTCTCGTGATACAGGCCTAGCAAGCGAGCTCTTGATCGGCCGCTACCAGGTCCCACCACCAAAGGACCCCGAGAGTCTCTTAGCACAGCATGAAGCAGGCTTGTTTGCGGAGGCGAAGGAGTCGCTTAATCTCATCGGCGGGATCCATCGCAGCGAAGCATTCAACCGGACCATCCTTCCCCTGGCCCTTCCATTGATCCAGGCCGTAGGGTATCGGATGGCGATGGAAGCCGCAATCGAAGCTGATATCGACCCCAGGCTGCGGTCTCTATATCAAGCCGGGGTAATCAAGGAAGATTCCGCTTGGTTTAGTGAGCAAGGGGGTCTCAGCCGGAAGGTGCAGCGACATATGGAGTCTCAAGCGGCAGATGCAGTGCTTCCAGAATTAGAAGAGTTTGTGGAGGACACAGGAGCGCAGTTGTATTGCACTGCACCGATGACATCAGATACCCTGTGGGACAACTTTGTCGAAGAGTTGGAGACGTTCTCTGGCAACGCAATGTGGCCAAAACAGGCCCAATAGCGCGTGTTTAGTAATTTTCAAAGAGTGAATTCATTAGTCGTAATATCAGCCCAATCCCAGGTTGATACTCATGGAGTATAAAGAGCCACCTCTCCTCATCCGTCCTAGAATGACGAAGTCCCGAAACCTTTGGCTGTTGTAAGACGAATACTTCCCCGATCCACCGCCGTCATCTTCCGACAAACCAATCGCGTAAACGTCCCTTCCAGCGGCACGTTCCGAATTGACGATGCGGACCGCATCCAAGGTTTGTGCGATCGGAAAACTTCCCTCTTCAAGGATCGCGAGATCCACGCACTTTTGCAGCCAATTCTGTACCTGTAATCCGCATCTAAGATCATCACACCTGAGGACGGAAGCTAGAAGTAAACTCGCAATGCCGATTGAATAGGTATTCCTGCTAGCACACTCGAGAATATCCAAGCCTGCTACAGTACGAAGCAGAACGATCATCCAGGATGTTGAGACGGCATGGTCGTTCCCTGGCCGAACCTCTTGGTCTTCGTCGGAATCTGCCCTAGAATGCAGTATTTCCGTGCATTGCATGATTCGCGCTGCACTGTAATATGCATAGTTGATCGCTGCCTCGTAGGAATGAAATAACAGTGGATGTGCAATCTCAGAAAAGCGACCCTGCGGAGGTTGGGGCAGTACATCAAGTGGAAGCTGAGAACGATCGAGGCGAGAATGCCACTCGTCGAGTTTTCTCCCTTCTGCCTCCAATAATGACACACATTCGTCGACGGTGCATGTGGCCAGGCTTGCCGCATGGATGCCTGATAAGACCTGTAGAGTGGCGATCGCACTCACCCGGTGCGATTCGCACAGAATAGATACAAGCAGAGTCTTCTGAGCATCGATTGTCCTCAGCACCTGCGTCAACTGTGGCGAAACCGAGAGCGACCTCTGGCTGAGTTGGAGAGCGAACGTGGTGAAGTACATTCTGCGCCACCACATATGGAGTCTCGATGCAAGCCAGGCGGCGATGAGTTCCTTGCCAAGTGCGTCCTGAGATAGGTGTGGAAGCTGCAAATCAATGATCTTGGCGATTCCCTGGCAATGCCACCCAAATCCTCGGAAGTTTCCCATAGCTGTCTCCATAAGGCAGAAAAGTACCAGTATGGCCAAGGTTGTCAATGGTGACGATGAAGCCTTTGCCTGCAAGGTTCTTGCAGTTTCGCCAACCGCGGAACTGTAGTACCGCTGGCTGGAGAGTAGGTGAGTACGATTGGGCAAGACGATGAGTCTGCCCTGGTTTGTGTGACCCTCGGGAGAGCGTCGACTAATGTTGCAGGCTGCTAATGCAAGGAGAGATTGTTTCAAGGTATTATCTTCGTCAAGGATAGAGTTGATGCCGTGGAAGAGACAGCCCAGAGCATCGATGCATGAGCTTTCCCAGTATGTAAGATAGAAGTGTTCACTTTCGACGCTTCTCAGGTCAATTATGGTGTCGATGTGCAGGAGAGGCTCGGCTGAAGTAAGTTTACGCAACTCATCTGCAGCGCTATGAGAATCTTCTTGGGTTAGTACTTTGCAGGCGCTCAACTGGACCACCTGTTTCGACTTGTGGCCTGCTTCGCTAGCTTCGTGTACCCGGGCATTGGACGGTGAAGTAGACTTGTAGAATGGCTGCCATCGCACATGCTGAAGGGGTTTCGACACAGCTCTGTGGGCAGAGGCAGTTCGATTGCTGAAGCTGAAGCTTGGTGACACTTCCTCGCAGGGCTTGCCTGCACGGGTACACGCCCCGCATGATGGCTTAGTTTCATCACACTACGGAGATCAGTGAGTAGCACGAGTCGAGCGAGTAGAAGAACGAACTTTGACGCGGCGCTGGCGACATAGCTTGCAGCCTGTACGCGAGCGCACTATGCTGGTCTTCTTCGGTCGAGGCGGTGCTGGCCTGTACATCGTACGATCTGACCGGACGACTCATTGAATGGCGCTTGTACTTTCTACCAGGGCTGCACTGAAGCTTAGAAAGTTTGCTGCGATGTGATCGAGACAATAAGAAAGAAACCTCCTCTGCAGTGCCACTATTGAAGTAATGATCAAGTTAGAATGAGGTTAGACCGAAGATCGGAGCCGAAGCGAATATCAAATGACTAAGCGGAGGCTGACCCACATTCCGAATTCGGTGTGCGGGAGCGAACTCACTCAGGCTGCCACTCCGGCTAACAAGCTCCTTTCCCTAATACCTATCCTCTAGCAACTCCTTACCCGTATTCGTATATACTTCCTTTTCGCGCATATCACCCATGGACTGTGGAAAGTTGTGGAGTTTGTCTCACTGAGTAAGATATCTTCCTGTGTTCTTTGCCGATCAACAGATAAGCTGACGATATTCAGGGATACAATCCATGCATCCTCTCCAATGTGAACGCCCTATGTCACTTTTAGCCGCGGTGACCCACTTACCAGATTCGGTGTACGGAAGCGCGAGGAGGTTGAGTTTATATAACAGCAGACCAGACCATCTCTCCTCAACCTCAACTCATTCAATTCCCTTTCTCATCCGAGCATCAACTCAAAATGGACGTCCCCTCGTTCCTCACAAGACCCTCCCCCTCCATTACGGAGCTAAAACAATTCTATGTCGGCAAAGACATCAACGACGTGCCCAAACCAGCCGTCGTGCTGGACGTGGCCATCATCAAGAGACACTGCCAGGCCATGCTGGACGCAGCTTCAGCGCTGAACGTCGGATTCCGCGCCCATGTCAAGACCCATAAAGTCAGCCATCGCCATATTCCCCTCCGCCCCAACACCATCCCTACACCACGCTAACCGAGACCCCCCCCCCAGACCCCCCAAGCCACCCGCCTCCAGGTCGGCGAGTCGAGCCCAGAAGTCAACCTGGTCATCTCCACTGTCCTGGAGGGCGAGATGCTCGTGCCCCTCCTGCAAGAATTCCAAGCGGCTGGGCGCTCCGTCAACGTGCTGTACGGCATTCCCCTCGTGCCGTCGCAGGTGCCCCGTCTCGCCGCGCTCGCCCGCCAGCTGGGCGAGAAGAGCATCGCCGTCATCATCGACCACCCGGACCAAGTCGATCTCCTCGCCACCTTCCACAAGCTCTCCGGATTTGCGGCGTGCGTGTTCCTGAAGGTCGACTCCGGGTACCACCGCGCGGGGCTGCCGCCGGCCAAGCTCAACAAGAACGGGCTGCTGGAGAAGGTCGCGGCCGCTGAGAAGCAGGGCCACGCGTTCCTTCTGGGGGTGTACTCGCACAACAGCCTGAGCTACTCGGGGACCACCCCGGACGAGCTGATGGCATATCTGAACGAGGAGATTTCCAGCTGCCGGGACGCGCTGAAACAGAATTCCCAGCTACTCCCGACTGATAGGGAGCTGGTCATCAGCGTCGGCGCGACGCCGCAGGTCGTCTCCTCGCAGCACCTGTTGCACCAATCCCTCAGCTCCGGCGCCAAGGCGTTGAAGAACCTGCTTCACGACCCGGACCACGATATCAACACGAAGGTCAAGGTCGAGCTGCACGCGGGCGTGTACCCGTTTCTCGATATGCAGCAGCTGGGGACCAACGTGCACAAGACACGGGACGCGGAGAGCGAGATCGGCATCGCCGTGGTGGCGGAAGTGTGCAGTGTGTATAACAACGGGGAGCGTTCGCAGCCTGAAGCGCTGGTCGCGGCAGGCTCCCTGGCTCTGGGGCGAGAGCCGGCCGCGTCGTATCCTGGGTGGGGGCTTATCAGCGCGTGGAGACGGCAACCGGGCGCTTCCCGACTCCTGGTGCAGCGCATCAGCCAGGAGCATGCCATCATTTCTTGGGAGGATACGAGTGACCAGTCAAAGATCCCTCTCCAAATTGGCCAGTCCGTCAAGATCTTCCCTAACCATGCGTGTATCACCGGCGCCTTGTATGGATGGTATTTGATTGTGGATTCCAGTGAAGATGGCGATGGATCGAGGGTTGTTGATGTTTGGCCGAGAAGTACTGGATGGTAAACAGATAATGAAATTCATACTATTTCTTTATGCTTTGGCAAAAGCTGCGATCATCCATTCACCTATACCAGCAGACCGTGTACATGTACAGTACCTCGATAGTAATCTATCGAACCATCCATGATAGCATTGAGTCGAAACAAAATCCCCACCGCGATGCCGGCCCCAGTGACCAATCAACGTCTCCAGAATGGGCCAATTCCCCCCACATTCTTCTCTTATCATCACAACCTCCGCTACTCCTAGCCATCACCTTCCAGCCCGGAGCGATCCAGGACTAGTCCCTTAGACCCCTATTTCTCTCACACTACTATTCTTCCGTGCTTCTAGAATACACAGTCACCTCAAATGCCAGCGACCAAACGGCTACGCACCGAGCCCATCGTGCGGGTCCGGACGGGGTGCTGGGCCTGCCGACGGCGCAAGAAGAAGTGCGACGAAGCGAAACCCGTGTGCGGGGGCTGCCTGCGCAACAAGCTGACCTGCCAATGGCCATCGAGCGTGCTTGGGGTCCCCAGCTCTGCTGCGCTTGCTGCCTGGACTGCCCCTACTCCCACCACTACATTCTGCACCGCGAGCCATGCGCATGCGCAACAGCGCTCAGAGCCCATCTCCCGCACGCAGACCCGCGTCTCCTCCTCCCCTGAGACACCCTCATCATCGTCGTCATCATCACCAGCCGCAGCCGCCGCCGCCGCCGCCGCAGCAGCAGTATCATCGTCAGCGTCCCCTGATTCTGTACTATCTCAGGAGGAGATGCCGCGCGAGATGGAGCTGCTCGAGGACGAGCACGGCCGTTCCAACACTACCCCGGGCGTCACGACCATCGCCTCACGATCCACCGCTACAGAACCCACGCTCACTCACGACCGCACAGCAGGAACTACAACGACAGCACTGACGACAATCGGCCAGGCGCTCCCGCGCGCGATGTCGATGATGCCCAACCACGGGCTCGACGCGTACCAGCTGCTGAGCCACTACATGGCGACGACGGCGGACTGCATGGCCAACGGGTCGACGCCCATCAACCCGTTCCTGGTGCAGATTGTGCCGCTGGCGTTCAGCAGCGACCTGCTGCTGCAGCTGGTGCTGACGCAGAGCGCAGCGCACCGGGCGTTCCGGCGGCGGAACGACTCGGACGAGGTGGCGCAGAGCCACTACACGACGGCGCTGCAGCTGTTCCGGAAGGGGGTGACCGAGTTCATCGACGGGAAGGAGTCCAACCCGCTGATCCTGACGGTGGGGGCGCTGGTGATGTGCTTCACGGAGGTATGTGCCCGAACCACCCTACTGTTTACGTTTACGAGGCCACCTTTTCTCTCGTATGCGTGTGTGATTAATGCCCCGAATGCAGACGGCGAAGGGCGACATGAACGGCACGATCTTCGACCACCTCTCCGCCGCGCACTCCCTCCTCATCCGGCTGCTGGCCCACCACCAGGCCGCCGATGCGGCCATCCCCAGCGACCTCAGGGACTTCGTCATCGAGTACTACACCTACACGGCGGCCGTGAGCATGATCTCCATCGACGCCCGCGTCAGCCAGCAGGTGCTCCTGAATTTCGAGCTGGAGCAGAAGGCCCGCCAGCTGCTGGAGGTCGGGTACGTGGGCAATCTGTGCGGGTGCTGGCTGGAGCTGCTGCTGCTGATCCCCTGTATCTTCGACCTCGGACGGCACTGGATGATGATGCCGGCGGATCCGGAGAGTGGCGAGCAGCCGGCCGTCGTGCCGACGGCGGACGAGATCGCCATGTACGGGTCGCTGCAGGCGCAGATCATGCGGTGGGCGCCGCTGCCGTCCGTCGCGCCGGAGGTGTTCCTGGCGGGCCGCATCTTCCAGCAGGCGATGCTGCTCTACCTGTACACGGCGCTGGGCGGGCCCCGGCACTTCGCGCGGTCGAAGACGGGGATGCATCAGATGCTGGTCGAGACGGCCATCGCCGAGGCCATGGCGTATCTGACGCAGCTGTCGGCGACCGCGCGCATCAACTCCGGGCTCTGCTGGCCCATCGCCGTCGTTGGGTCCTGCCTGTCCCACCCGGACCACCAGGAGAACCTGCGGCAGCGGCTGACGACGATGGTCTCTACGTTCGGGCTGGGGAACATGCACCGCACCAAGTTACTCCTCGAGCACATGTGGCAGATGCCCCTGGAGGAGGCGGGGCCCTGGAACATCTGTCGAGCGATGGAGCGGAATCAAATCTGGATATCGTTTGCATAAACAAAGAGAGAAAAAAGCTACCGCCGTCCACGGCTCTCGGTTCTAAATATACACGAACTTCATGACTCATCGCAGCATCCCTCCTCCACAAGACCAGCTTGGAAAAGCGCAAGCGTGATGGGGCTTGACTCCTGGCTCTACGAAGCCTGGTTCTTCGGGGCCTCGGTGGCGGGACCCTCCGGGGTGACATAGGCCTTGGTGAGACCGCCGTCGACCACGAAGTCGGCGGCGTTGACGAAGCTGCTCTCGTCGCTGGCCAGGAAGATGACGGCGTGGGCCTGCTCGATGGCCTCGCCGAAGCGACCGGTGGGGAAGTGCACCTCGCGGCGGAAGCGCTTCTCCTTGTCGTCGCCGAGCCAATCCTGCAACAGGGGGGTGCTAGTCTTATCAGCCAACGCTCTTCACCAATCTCAACCTGAACACAAAGAGAATAGAGTAGTACTCACTTCAAAGGAGCAGGACACAGCGAGTTGAAGCGGAATCCTTGGAATCAGTCAGCATCAGCGTCCACCCCTCCACGCATAAGAAACCACATACCCTCCCGAGCATGCACAATGGCCAACTCGCGGGTCATGGCCAACACCGCGCCCTTACTGGCCGTGTACGCCAACTGCGGGGTCGCCGCGCCGACCAGGGCCACCATGCTGGCCGTGTTGATCACACTGCCCTTCTTCTTGCCGTGGCGGCGCAGACTCTTGACGGCGTGCTTGCACCCGAACCACACGCCCTTCACGTTGATGTTCATGGTCAGATCCCAGATGTTCTCGGGGGTCTGCTCGCTGTCGCCGTCCTGGGCGTGCATGATGCCCGCGTTGTTGAACATGACGTCCACGCCGCCCCAGGCGTCGAGGTGGGCGACGGCGGCCTCGACCTCGCTCTCCTTGGCGACGTCGACGGTGCGGGTCTCGACGCGGCCGTCGTGCTGCGGCACGGCGGTGCGCACCTTGGCCAGCGCCTTCTCGAGGCCCGGCCCGCTGACGTCAGTCATCAGGACGGAGGCGCCCTCGCGGAGCATGAGGATGGAGGTTTCGAGGCCGATGCCGCTGTTTTGGGGGGCAAGCACGAGGGTTAGCTAGCTTGTCCTTCGTTTTGACATGTGCATCTCTCGAGTGTAGTCCAACGAAAAGAGGGGATGGGATAGCATACCCCGCCGCACCCGTCACGATCGCATTCTTGCCCGCAAGTCGTCCAACCATTGTGTCTATCGTTCGTTTCGAATTCGTTCCTTCCGTACTTGACTGTGTACTGTGTAAATCGGATAATCCACCGATGAATAAAGAAACGCGAGGTGCAGGGTAAGGTTGCGTGCAGAAGACAAACAAGAAGGTGCAGTGATGAAGAAGGTCGGTGGAAGAGAGCCCGCAACCCGCTTTAATAACTACTGTTTCCCCCTCGCCGAAAGCTACCCCACTACTCCCCCCACCAACCCTGCTTCACCGCCCGGATACCGCGCTTCGGAGGGTTCCACGTGTTAGCTGCGCGGCGCTGCAAGCGATGGATGGATGAGCACGTGCCACGGCCCTGGGAACTCCATTCACGTTCAGGCAATGAGACACTTACTCCACAGTCATCTGGAGTCTCTGGCGAAGGTAAACGTTATTTGTTGGAGATAACGATCGCTGTCAGCGCGCCGGATCGCGAAAGGATGGAGGGGGACTGTAACAGCAGTGTTGAGCTGGGTTTTGGCGATAAGCGCGATGCGATAAGGATTGAGGGGGAGGAGGAGGAGGGGAGCCGTCGCCTGCGGGTCCGTGCTTGCTGCCTGCCGGTGTCGGGGAAGCGCGGTCCGGGACCGCGCGGCGGTTGGTCACTTATTCACCTTGGGCTTATCGGGGGCTTTGTTGGGTCGCGTTGCTTCGCGGATGGGTTGGGGTTAGAGTATCGGGGTTGTGAGGGGGGTTCTTTGGGATTAGGTTGTTTTAGGGGCTTTGGGGTTGGGGGTGATTGTCTGTTTGCAGTTGTCGGTGGTTGAGGAGACAGGCAAGAGGATGAGGGGGTTCGAGTGCGGGTGGTGGCTCTGCGATGGCTTAGAGCTACTAGGTAACTAACTTATCCGGCGAGGGGGTTTGATTGTAGCAAGGTCATACTGGACTATGAGATTATTCTTGAAAGAGCTACTGAATCAACGAATTGGACAGTTATGGGAGCCGAGAATATGGACATAGTGCTCAAATGCTATTACTACCCAGTCTATTCCTGACCTGATTCAACCACGCGCAACTCATTAAACCATCGCCAACAGCCCCAACTCTACTCCTCCTTGATATGGAAACTCTTCAACTTGTAAAACCCGTCATAAGCCTTAGGGCCCAGCGTGAACCCCAGACCCGAATTCTTCCACCCAATCCACGCGAGATCCTAATTCCCTAAGGTTAGCATACTTTTCCCGCAGGAGCACGCTCAAGAGAAAAAAAAACATACCGGACTGGGATAATCGCAACGGTTCAGATACACCGTGCCCGCCTCGACATCCTCAATCAACTCCTCGCCCCTTTTGATGTCCTTGGTCCAGATGCTCGCCGTCAGACCGTAGTCACTATCGTTCATCAGATCGACCGCTTCCTCATCCGAGGACACCTTCATGATGGGGAGGACCGGGCCGAACGTCTCGTGCTTCATGACCTGCATGTCGTGCGTGGCGTTGATCAACACCGTCGGCGCCAGGTAATTGCCCTCGGAGGGGAGGTTCTGGAAGGTGGGGTTCGCCGGCGTGACGTCCACCGCGCCCTTGGACAGCGCATCGGTGATGTGCGACTGGATGTTCTTGACGGCGAGGCTGGAGACAACGGGGCCGGTGGTCGTGGACTGGTCGTGGGGGTCGCCGACTTTGTAGCTATTGATGCGAGGATATTAGCCACCGGAATTGAAATTCATCGCGAGGAGCCCTACCCAGCCAATTCCTTCTTCACCTCCTCCACAAACGCATCGTGCACATCCGCATGCACGTACACCCGCTCAATGGCGCAGCAGCTCTGGCCGGAATTAAATACCGCACCATCCACAATATTGGCGGCCACGGAGGCCAGGTCGGCGTCCGGCCGCACGTACGCCGGGTCGTTGCCGCCCAGCTCGAGGTTCACCGGCACCAGACGGCGGGCGGTGGCCTCGCGGATGCGCAGGCCCCCGAGCGTCGAGCCGACGAAGGAGATAAGCTTGATCTGGGGCAGTTGGGCGATCTCGTCGAGCACGTCGGCGGAGCCGCAGTGGATGACCTGCAGCACGTGGTCGGGCAGACCGGCCTGCACGAAATACGAGGCCAGCCGTTCGCCGAAGATAGGCGTCTGCGGGGAGGGACGGAGGATGACGGTGTTTCCGCTCAGCAGGGCGGGGAGGAGGGCGTTGACGGTGATGAGGTACGGGTACTACCAAGCCAAAGTGCGGTTCCTGGTTAGAGATCGGAAGATTTGCCACCGACAGGGACGGGACAGGGACAAGGGGTCAGCTCACATTCCAGGCGGTCGAGATCAGAACAGGACCAACGGGTTCCTTCTTAACGAAGCGCCGGAATCCGCTCTCGGGGGTGCCGGGGAGGTTCTTCAGGCTCTCGTCGGCGATGTTGAGCAGGAATTCGGCGCGCTTGCGGAAGGTGTCGATTTCCTTGCCGGTGTAGGCGATCGGGCGGCCCATTTGCGTCGTCAGTTCGGCCGCCAGGGTGTCTCGGTCTGCGACGATGAGGTCCAGCGCCTTCACGACGATCTCCTTCCGCTGTGCGAGGGTCGTTTTCTTGTATGTGCGCAATGCATCTTGGGAAGCTTGGACGATTTTCTGGGCTTCTTCGAGAGAGGTGCCGGGGTGCTCGAAGATGACCTTGTTCGTGGAGGGGGAAAGGGTACGGATCTGGTTCGTCATGTTGGATGTGTTGCGTAAGTCTCAGTCTGTGGAAGCAGCAGTCGACCTGGGTGAGTTTGAATAGGATAAGAAATATAAGGATCGGAATAAGTGAGAACTTGGGATGAAGAGTTGCAGTGGTTATAATCGGGCGATAAGAGGTGGTGGAGGGGCACAGTGGGCACGCATGTGATTGGCGCGCTCTATCGGTGGAGGCGCGGTCTGGCGGTGGGGCTCGACGTAAGGATGCATCGGAGAACACAATGGAATCATTAGGTATGCTATTCAGGACTACTCTTAAAATTATACTACAGGAAACAATTCTATCCAAATCAATCTAACATCCCCAACGCAAATCGTGTCATCGTTTCCGCGACAAACACCCCGTCGTGCGGCTTATCGACCCGCGACATGCCATCCTTGTAGAAGCTCTCTTCGAACACACCGCGCTCATGGCGTATCTTGAGAATCGAACTGACCATGAACCCATTATACTCTGGATGGCCTTGAACCGTTAAAATCTTTTTCGGGATATACAGGCCTTGGATACCGCAGATCAGACTGCCACCTAGGTTCACACATCCCGGCGGAACTTCGAAGACAACGTCACGGTGCATCATCTGCAAAGACTGCAGACTGTTAGTAACTTATTTTCTTGTGTTGCATCTCAGCCGACATACAATCTCATTCTTGCCGAAAAGCTGCCTCCCTGCACTGGTCAGGTAGAACGGCTCGACGGCAACCTCCCATCCAGAGACACTGGGGCCAACGCGGGCCCCCAGAGCCCGCGCAATGATCTGGTGGCCGAAGCAGATCCCGATCATGGGTTTGTGGTGGACGGTATAGCAGTCTTGGACGAAGCGGAGCAGCGTGAGTATCCATGGCTCATCTTTGTAGGAGTCGTGTTCTAAGCAGTGTCAGCACTGTCTGTGGATAGGGTATTGTGCTTGCCTTACTGCTGCCAGTCAAGAGAACGACGTCGAAATCTTCGGGTTTGGGGTACTCGGCAAATGGTAGCACGACATTGGTCTTTGTCAATTGCAGTTTCACAGGAGGCTCAATCGTCTGCAGCCCCTCGTTCAGGTGATTCTCAAAGATATCCCCGTAGGTGCCATATTGGGAGAGAATGGGATCCACTGGCGTGTCGCATTCCAGAACAGCGACTCGAAGAAGTTGGGTCATCATGCTGATTGTTGTAAAGGTGGTAGTAGCCAGTCGCAGCGAGTGTGTAGTAAAGCACTGCACCCATCTTGGCTTTATACAACGCACGAGGCGACTTGTTGAAAGCGATACCACCAACCGCGGTTAGAACGAGTTCCTTGATGCGTTCCCTGTTGACACCTGAGGCAAGAGGGGCAAGACTGGACCGTTACGTAACAGCCGTGGGCCACCGCATCACGTGATTCTTCTCCAACAACGACCCCTCATGGGCGATAAGCGATAAGCGCGGTTCCGTGGCTTGCCCCGCAGCAGCGCGGTCCGAGGTGTTGGGGAGCGCGCGCGGTAGCTCTACAGCTTCAGCCCGCCGTCATTCTCGGAGCCAGTATCGTCAAATCGGTGCTTACCATTGCAGACCGCCAGTGAAGTCCATTGCCGCGCGATGGAGCTCCTGTGGAGCTTCGTGCCATGCTGTCGCAAGTATTGCGACCGCCGTCGGGGTCACGACTAGTCCACGGTCGCTGTTGCAACTTCCTTTAAAGCCCTCGCCTCGCCTTTCCTTCCTCTTCTCCAGAAACTTTCAGCACTTTTGCAACTCACGACAGAACATCCCCGTCGAGATGACGTCCGCAACCATCACCGCGGAGGACCTCCCCAGCCTCCTGGCCAACGACATCAAGGTCAAGGTCGCCGGCATCGACTGCGACGGCATCCTGCGCGGCAAGGTCATGTCCACGGAGAAGTTCCTGGGCATCGCGCAGAAGGGATTCGGCTTCAGCTCCGCCGTGTTCGGGTGGGACATGCAGGACGTGCTCTACACGACGGACGCGAAGATCGCGCCCGCGGACTCGGGCTACGTCGACTTCATCGCCATCCCGGACCTGGACTCCTTCCGGCGCATCCCGTGGGAGGACAACATCCCGTTCTTCCTCGTGCGCTTCGCCCAGAACGACCAGCCCGTGTCCGCCGATGGGCGCAGCATGCTCCGGTCGATATGCGACCAACTCGCCGCGGAAAACTGCCAGGGGATGGCCGGAGGTAAGGGCATTTCGCGTCTGCAGGCTGATGGTGACTGGGCTGGCATAGACAATGCTGACCCGGAACAGTGGAGCTAGAGTTTATGAACTTCCAGACCCCCTCCGAGGACGGGTACGGGGCCAATGGCTCCCAGATCCGCGACATCGCCGCCTTCCTCGATAAGAATGCCCCGGGGGCGTTGCGCCCGCTGACGCAGGGCAGCTTCTCCTACAGTGCCACCAGACCGGTCGCATACAAGAAATACTTCTACGATATCTTCGACACCAGTGCACAGTTCAAATGCGGGATCGAGGGCTGGCACACGGAGGGTGGACCGGGTGTATATGAAGCAGTGAGTTGACCGTGCTGGTGGAGGGGTTATGCGAATGCTCACAGTTACCAGGCGCTGAAGGTGTCCCCGGTCATTGAAATGGCAGATAAGGTGTCTCTATTCAAGTAAGCACGCCCCTCAGCCCCGTGCTAGAGACCCAAACTGACACATCCAGACTGCTGGCCAAATCGGTCGGCCTCGAACATGGCATCACGCCGTGCTTCATGGCCAAGCCGATGCAAGGCCAACCCGGAAGCTCCGGGCACATTCACGTCTCGCTCTGCGACCTGGCGGGCAAGAACCTCTTCGCGCGCGAGACCCCCGACACAAACGCCCCGTGGGCCGATGCAGCTGGCCTGTCGGACCTGGGCCGACAGTTCCTGGCCGGTCTGCTGGAGGCGCTGCCGGACATCATGCCTCTGTTCGCGCCGACCATCAACTCGTACAAGCGGCTCGTCGAGAACTTCTGGGCGCCGGTGAACATCAGCTGGGGGCTGGAGGACCGGATGGCGTCGGTGCGGCTCATCACGCCGCCCGTGTGCAAGCCGGGCGCCACGCGGTTCGAGGTGCGCATCCCCGGCGCGGACCTGCACCCGCACTACGCGCTCGCCGCGATCCTGGCCGCCGGCTGGCGCGGCGTGCAGAAGCAGCTTGAGATCCGGGTCCCGCCCGTCTCGGCCATGAAGGCCGCCCACCAGCAGCCCGAGCTGCTCCCCAACACCCTGGAGGAGGCGCTGCGGCGGTTCAACGCCCCAACCAGCATCGCGCGGGAGATCCTGGCGCCCGAGTTTGTGGATTTCTTCACCGCCACGCGCGAGCACGAGCTGCGGGTGTGGCGCGAGGCGGTCACGGATTGGTAAGTCTTTGCCCTTGGTGCTCAGCAGTGCCTGTATTGACTGGTGGTTTAGGGAGTTCAAGCGGTACATCGAGACAGTATAGTAGGCGGAAAGTTGCACTGTAGATTATGAAGAACATGAGAGATGAATACCACATACATACCACGTACACAGTCCCTGTGTAGATTGCCTGTTTTCAATTTCATTCAGAAGAAGTTGCAGCGTGGCTCAGAGCGTGTGAATATGTTTGACTATGCATGAGATCAACTGTATCAATGCGACTTAGAAGAGTACGGAATTATCAACCACCACTACAGCAAAAGAAAAACACGCCGCGTCATCGCGCACAATCTGGAATCAAAAGATAATTCAAAACCATGAGATACAGAATGCAAATGTCCAGGGTATAGAAGATGCCAGTCGAGAAATTAGGGTGATGAGGTTCAGTCATCGCTTTTAGGTTCGGGCTCGTCCTCGACGGTGGCAGCGGTGGGACTTTTGCTATGCCCGTTACTGGGGGTGCCATTCTGCTCGTGCTCATCATCATCATCATCATCGGGGTGCTCGTCGCCCACCGCGCCGTCGTGCTCGCCGTCGTGGCGGTGGCCGTTCTGCTCCTCGCCGTTGCGCTGCACGTTCTTGCCCTTGCCGTCCCCGTCGCCCAGCGGCTTCTCGACCCCGATATCGCCCGCCTCCGTCCCGGACTCCTCGACCTTCCCCCGCTGCTTGGCCCGCGCGCGCCGGATCAGCCGGTTGTGGTAGTCCTTCTTCTCGGCCTCCGGGTCCTCCTCCACGATGCGACGGGCGGCCTCACGTCCTACCACGGGCAGGCGGTCGACGCCCGGCGCCGTCGCCCCGGGCGGCACGTACTTGGGGTCCAGCAGGCCCAGCTGCACCAGCACGCTGGCCTGGTCCCAGTACATATGCTCGGAGTACAGGCGGCCGGCGCGCAGGCTGACGATGCTCACGAGAATCACCTCGACGCGCTTGTTCGTCGGCGGGATGCCCGGCAGCATCCAGGGAATCTCCTCGGAGTGCTCGAACGAGGCGTACAGCTCGTCGACGACGCGGTCTGCCCCCACGGTGCGTGAGATCAGCCGCAGCCGCATCGACGGCGGCAGTTTGCGCAGGAAGTGGTGTTCGTAGAAGCGGCGCAGGGCGTGCGCGCCGATCGCGCCGCTCATCGTCGGCGCCATCGTCACGGCCGGGTTGAGGTGCGAGACGTACGGTTCTACCGTGCCTTTGAGGTTCATGGAGAAGAAGCGCGCTAGATTCAGGACAGTGTCAGTGTTCGGTTGGGTTGCGGGTGTGTGTGTGTGTGTGTGTGTGTGTGTGTGTGAGGCGAGATGCGGTTGCGTACCTTCCAGATGCTCCTCCCACCGCGACTCCAGATCCAGGTCCTTCCCGAACGCCTTGCGCAACACCTGCAGCGTGCGGCTCCACGCCAGATCCGACGCCAGCCGGTCGTACTCCTCCAGGTCGCTCTCCGCGAACCCGGGCTGCACCGAGGCGTACGTGAACGTCGGCCAGCCGATGTTCAGCCGCTCGCCCGTGCCGATGCCCGGGTTGATCTTCTTGGTCGTGCGCTTCTTCTTCCCCTGCAGGCCGAGTGCCGTCGGGATGGTGACCATGTCCACGGTGTTGCCGGCCAGGTGGCAGAGCACCCGCAGTTGGACCGAGTAGCGGTTGCGGGTGTCGGGGATGGTGGTCGGGTAGTAGGCGATCAGCGCGGCGAGACGGCTGGCGTTGGTCGGCTTGAGGAAGTAGTCCATGCAGAAGGAGGCTGCGTCTCCGAAGGCTGGGTTGCAGATTAGACGCACGCGAACGGGAATGGGCATGGGTGAGTCTCCACGATGTGCTTACCGATGATCGCATAGTTGTCACCCACCCCCAACCCGTCTTTGACCGTCCTCAGTCGAGCAGCGTAATCCTTCCCGCCGTTGTTGAACGGCACATACACGACATCGAACCCCTCGTCCGCCCACGCTCGAATGGTCTGCGTGTCGAACTCCTCAGTCTCGGCCGTGATGCACACCCGCGCCGTCCCCAGGTTCGCATTGTTGTAGATGAAGCCGGATGCCCCGGGCGCGTTGATGGATATCGAAGCCATGGTCATTGGGCCTGATCCTTGTTATTGTGTTGTGATTCTCGAAATCAGTAGTTGTAATGTCTCTCTCGAAATCGAGGGCAATGCGAAAACAAAAAGAAGGTCTGACAGCTGTCTCCCTCCCCCTCCGTGCCATGGACCAGGATCTACAACATTTTATGGAGTGGTGGACGCCTACGTCACTGCCTGCCCTCCATCCCGTTCCCGTTCCGCATACGTCATTGCCGCCCGGGAAGCCAGGATCAGCTGATGGTCAGGCCTATATGAGATTGGTAGCCCAGTTGTTAGTCGCCCACTCCAGTCTGCCAGTTCCTTCGAAAGAGCTCGGAGCGTTTGGATGCTTTTCCTGGTTTGTGGCATGTTGTTATAGATGTGTTGTTTTTTTGTTGAAGGATGGTTCCGAACGGTCGAGCATTCCTTGGGAATGGCGAAACTCAAATGGTGGTCGGGGTGGGAATGGTGCACCCTCAGGCAGCGATGGAGAGTGCCTGGATCGGCTGCATCGGGCTTAGGCCTGTTGGGAGCTGTCGCTGTCATCGGCCTCGCTCCGATTGCCGGATTGGGTTGTATACTTGGCTTACTACTTAGTAGTGGCCTGGGGCTGGGCCTCGGCATTCACCGCCAGAGCTCTGTCAAGCTCTTTTTGGTGCACTGTCTTTCTCATGCTTGGTTATGACTCTTGGACTTCAATCTTACGTCGATAGATTATGAGTTGGAATGTTTTTTCTAATACTATCGCAACACTATCCAACCTCTCGACTGTATTTATCTTGTGCTGCTGGTTCGGTTCGCAATGGCTGTGTTGCAATCATGTGAAAAAGACATTTGCGGTCACACCTGGGCGATATAGCATATTCGTCGAACAGTCCTTGTTGCAATTGCACTCAACGATGGCGACAGATTCTCGTGCAGAGCTATCCAGAGAAGCTTGTGAGCAGACTGCAAGGCATATCGCATCTGATAAGAAGCCCCAGCATTTTCAATCGCGGTAAGTCGGGGTAAAACCCTGGGGACCACAGAGCTAAGTTATCCCCTCGGGAAATCCGCAACGGGCTGCAGGAGAGAGAGGGGTAATTGGTACTCCGTAATGCGGAAGATCAATGCTCGTTTTGTGTACATGATGCACCGTACTGAATACCGACGTACAATCGCAGCTACTCTACGGACTGGTCGTGGATGGCGTGATGCCTTCCAGAATACATTATCTTTCATGCAGGGTATTCCGGCTATTTCCAGAAGGATGGTCGATGGCGGGATACAAACAATCTTTATTTGAGGTCCGACCAATTGACTCCGGCAAGACCGCTTAGCTGGCAGGTTCGATAAGCTAAGGGGAGTACTAGCTCGGGGTTGACTGGAAAACCCTAGGAAGAAGAGTGAATAATCTAGACCCATCGGCTGTGGTGGAGCCGGGGTAGAAAGAGAGAAAAAAAAGCTCAAGACGTCAGGTGCCCTCTGGATTTCCCCTTCCATTCCTTAACACTGGGCAAATGCATTGATCTTCTCCACCACCAGATAAGAACGATAAGCTATAGTTAGTTAGTTAGTTTAGACGGGGTTATTTACCCACTCCAAATCCTGTTTTTTTTTGTGTTGTGCTTTTCCAAAATTCCTCCCTCTTGCTTTCCTCTTCAGCCCTTCATTCACGATTTTTTTCTCTGGAAGTACAGTGAAGTAAGGTAAGGTGGTGGCTGGCGAGAGAACTCTCGAACGTTCGGCAAAACCACCAACTGGAAACCCAACCACTTTAACTTTCCTGCCGACCTTCCCTCTCCCCCCCCCCCCCCAAGCCTTCAAGCCTATCCTTCCCGTTTCCAAGTTCCCTGTCCATTCGTCGTCGTTGTTTGTCCTCGTCCCCTGGCACCAGCACCAGGCTCCCTAGCCTATTCGCTTTCAGACCAATCGCTACACTTATCCCTAACCGAAAGTACAGTGCAGTACCATGTCCTTGGTCCAGCACGTCTCTGCAATTGAGGGTGCGGACCGTGAACCCGATCCTCACGATGATAGCACTATCACCACCGCCGTAACCAGCGAACACTACGGATCCATCCGTCGCAAGATCAGCTACGACTTCTTCCCTCCACCACCGCCCCCCATCGAAGAAGAACTGCATTCGGGGACTCCGGCTTATAAAGTCCCCACCGCCACGCGACTAGGTAGGTGGTACAAGACTGGAGTTTTCGTTTTTGCTTGAACGAATCTCCCTGTTGACCCCGTCTAGCCCAGGTTGCCGTCACGATTCTGGCATGCTGGTTTGCTGCAGGCATTGTCTTCGGATTCGCAGCGCTCAAGCCGGTCTTGATCGCGGAGGGAGTATACAGGGATCTGTGCACCGACGAAGAACTGCGCGACGGCGTCGACGTGTGCGTGGAACAGGATCTTAGGTGCGTATGGCCCTTCCCACCGAATCTGCCCCCTCGTGGGGATCATCCGCTGACTCGAGCAGGCTCAACTTCTTCTTCACCGTCAGTTCGATCACAGCCAACGTGTCTGCCTTGCCGGTCGGAACCATCCTGGATCGCTATGGCTCTCGCGTCTGTGGCTTCGCAGGTTGCGTGCTTCTGGCCATCGGCTGCGTGCTGATGGCATATTCGTTCTCGGAGCCCGGGTTCGACGGGTACATCGCCGCGAACTTCTTCCTCGCCCTGGGGGGAACGTTCATTTTTGTGCCTTCGTTTCAGATCGCCAATGCGTTCCCCAAGTATGCCGGAACCATTGTGGCCCTGGTCACCGGCGCCTTTGATGCATCGGCAGCTGTATATCTGTTCTACCGTCTGGCGTATGACGCCACCGACCGGTCCTTCACTCCCCAGTCATTCTTTACGGGGTACCTGCTGGTCCCCGTGCTTATATTCATTGCCCTTATTACTATCATGCCCGCCCGCGACTACCAGAGCGCGCATCAGTTAGAGATTAGAATCGAAAAGGCGGAGGACGCGACCCGCGACGTGCACGACTCGGATGACGACATCGAGAGCGACTCGGAGCTACTGCGGATCCGCCGGGAGCGTGCCAAGCGCCGCCTCAACAAGATCCATAAGATTGACGAGGTGCTGGGCGATCGCGACGAGCGGCTGCAGCGCGAGCACCACGAGGAAGAGCGCCAGGCGACAAGCGCGGTGTGGGGCGCGCTGCATGGCCAGCCGGCGCACAAGCAGATGCTGACCCCGTGGTTTGTGCTGATCACCCTGATGACGGTGCTGCAAATGCTGCGGATGAACTACTTCATCGCGACCATCTACGCGCAGTACGAGTACATGTTGCAATCCGCCCCGCTGGCGGCCCAGATCAACGGCTTCTTCGACGTGGCCCTGCCGGTGGGTGGGGTGGTCTCCACGCCCTTCATCGGGATGCTGCTCGATAACCTCAGCGTGCCCTCCATCCTCAGCATCATCGTCGTGCTCACCACCGTGATTGGTATCTTCAACTCCATCCCCGTGTTGTGGACGGGCTATGTGACGGTAACCCTGTTCGTGTTGCTGCGGCCACTCTACTACTCTGCCATGTCGTAAGTTCTTGTCGCGAATCTTGACTTTGGATCGGATCTGATGCTGTGATTCGCAGGGATTACGCCACCAAGGTTTTTGGGTTCGCCACCTTCGGGCGCGTCTACGGAACGATCATCTGCTTCTCGGGGCTCGTCAATTTCTCCCAGTACGGCCTCGATGCTCTCACCCACGGGCCTTTTGATGGCAACCCCATCCCCATCAACATCTTTTTCGCGGGCGCTGGGTTTGTCGTGGGGACGGCGCTGGTGGCCTTTGTCTACTTTGCCGGCAGACACATGAAGGAGGAGCAGCGGGACATGGAGGAGAGTGGCGAGCGGCAATGGTTGATTCCGGAGGAGAGCGAAGAAGATGTGTATGGGTCTACGAGATAGTCGAGATAGTCGGTTGTGCCGAGGTTCGAGGGAACGGAGCTGGAACAGCAGTGCGCACAGATAAACGCGCCAGAATATGGGTTCTAAGGGTATCGTGTACATTGTTATAGGTGTGGGGAGTGTGGTTCTGTGGATGAGGCGTTTTTTTGTGTTTCCGACTCGGAAAAGAAACAATTGATCTGTGCATAGCAATAGGTGCTAGGTAGGGTAGTTTAGTTTAGTTTATAAAGGGCATCGATTCTGATTTGCTTGAATAATGCGCTGGAACCCTGCCCGACCGGCAGGTCTTTGCAGATACTCAAAACTAAACCTCCGAGCACCACGCGATTCCGGCCAGACCGTCTGTTTGCCACGCCAGGCCATGGCAAAGAGTCAGTTGTTCGTATCCGCTCTTGGTCGGGCTGCCAAGGGGGGACTGGGGGACTGCCAAGGGACCAGTCCGGATGGTCTTGATGTCAACCTGGAACCGCCCTCAACCCCCGCATTCTTTCTCCCTTCCTCCACATCGCCCGAATCCGGGGAGGGGGTTTTGTTGTCTGGCTCCAGTTTTTGTGGGGAAATCTCCCTTCCCCGGACCATTCCAAGTTGTCTTCTCTCCTTCTCCTTCCAGTTCTCTTCCCCAGGCCGAGGTAACTTGTGGATTCTCTGAGCGGCTATTGGACTCATTCCTCCTGAGGGTCTTGAAAATTGAGTTTCTTGTTTGGCAGCGACGCTATCAGCTGGGCGGATCTGGGGTCTGTGGAGGGGACAGGAGAGGGAGTCTCTTCGTCATGCAGCCGCGGATGTGGAGAATGACAGAGGAAGAAGAGGGGGGAGGGTTTCCGATTGACTTGACTTGACTTGACTGGTTTTGGTCTGCTTTGGTCTGCGTTGGTCTACTACCTAGGCTTTCTTCCTTATCTTTGTACGACATATAACTACGATCCACTACCCCCGGCCGACCCTACTGCCCCCTGCGTTCCTTCGATTCTTCATTGCCCATCCCCATTGCTTTTTGTCTTGGCAAGCTGGGTTCTCTATCGATAGTCGCTTTCTGCAGATCTCCTCTTTGGTTTTCTCCTCTCCACACGAGCTTCTCATGTCTCCCCCCAGCAGCGAGAAAGGAGGGAGCGTGGATCGCATCGAGGACATCACTCGGGCCAATCCCAGCCCCGACGATGTCGACCACGACGAAGAGTACTCCTACGCGGAGCAGCGCAAGATCATCCACCGGATCGATCGCCGCCTGGTGACCATCACGGGTCTGGCGTATTGCATTTCCTTGATGGACCGCACGAATTTGAGCATGGCTGCTGTCGCGGGGTGAGTCTTCTGGCTTCGTGTCCACTACCGCGCGCTGAGCTGCTAATTGTGCTCTTGTGGACTACAGCATGACTAAAGACCTGCAGTTGACTGTTGGGACACGCTATGTGGGTGACTCCGTGGCTGCATGGGCTGGGTGATGTGCTGACCGGCCGGTAGTCGGTGATCGTGCTTATTTTCTTTGTTCCCTACGTGATCTTCCAGCCGCCGATGACGGTGGTGACCCGCAAGTTTGGGCCGACGATCTTCTTGGGCAGTATTGTTATCTCTTGGGGGGCGATTCTGGTGGTGAGTCTTCTTGTATTGTTGTTTGAATTGGGTAAAAGTGGACACTGATGATTGTCCGTTCCAGGGAATGGGGTTTACGAAGAACTGGAAGCAGATGGTCGCTTGTCGATTCCTCTTGGGGATTTTGGAGGCTGGTGAGTCGGCTCTTTCTTCTGGGAGGAGGTTGGTGCTTACGATGACAGGCTACTTCCCCGGCTGTGTGTATCTACTCTCCAGTTGGTATACGAGATGTGAGTGATGTTCCCGGTGTGTGTTTGGGTTTGTGCTGATGACCGCGCAGTCGACGTGCAAAAGCGCTTCTCCATCTTCTACCTCATCGGCTGCGTCGCGTCCGCGCTGGCCGGAATCCTCGCTTTCGGGCTGATGCAGATGGAAGGGCTGCAGGGAATCCGCGGCTGGCGATGGATTTTCATCATGGAGGGTGTTGTACGTATACCGGGGGCATGCGGTTGACGGCTGGCGCTGATGACGCTGTAGATCACCGCGGTGATCGGGGTCCTCACTCTGATCTTCCTGGTCGACTTCCCCGATCGAGCCCACAAGTCCTGGCGGTTTCTGAGTGAGAAAGAAAGCTCCTTCATTGTCCGGCGCATCAACCGCGATCGGTCGGATGGTAACGAGGAGCCCTTCACGCTAAAGCGGTTCTTGTCTCCCGCTCTGGACCTCAAGATCTGGGGGTTCGCTATGATTTTCTTGTCCGTCCCCACGGCCTACCCTTCGCCTCGAGACAACGCTAACAGACCACAGCTGCACCACAACGGTTACCTACGCCATTGCATACTTCCTCCCCATCATCCTGCAGCAAGGCATGGGCTTCAGCATCGGCGCGGCGCAGTGCCTCGCCGCGCCGCCCTACGTCTTCGCCGGCATCATCATGTTCGGGGGCGCCTGGGTGGGCGACAAGTACCGGGTGCGCGGGGCCATCGTGGTCTTCAACGCGCTGCTGTGCATCATCGGCCTCCCGATCATGGGGTTTGCGCACGGCAACGCGGCCCGCTACGTCGGCGTCTTCTTCAGCGTCGCCGGCGCCAACTCGAACATCCCCGCCGTGATGGCGTACCAGGCCAACAATGTGCGCGGCCAGTGGACGCGCGCGCTGTCGAGCGCCACCCTGGTGGGCTTCGGGGGCATCGGCGGGATCGTCAGCAGTTTGGTGTTTCGGTCGGAGGATGCGCCGGGGTATCGACCGGGCATGTGGACTACGATCGCGTGAGTCATTTCCTTGGGTTTGGTCGATGGCCTTACTGACTGTGTGTGGATAGGTGCAATATCTTGATCCTGGTGATTGTCGGGGCGCTGAGTTGGTGGTTCCGGAAGTCGAATCGGCAGGCGGAGCGCGGGGAGAGGGTCATTGAGGGGGCGGAGGATTTCAGGTATACCCTTTGAGTGCATTGATCGATTGATCGCTGCCATTTGGGAAAGGAAATACTGTGTATGTACCTAGGCAGGAATCCTGGCACCAACCATACCTCACTGCAGGCTTGCAGATAGTTCACCCTAGTTAGTATTAACCTTACACGCAATGAATATGATTGAACGCCTTATCGTGGTTCTTCCCCGGACTACCTCGTGTGAAGTCAATCCTGGTCAGCTGCCAGCCGCCATCCGCCAGCCTCAGGCACCCCCGCACGCAGCCTTAGTTCTTTCTTATCTTATCAGCAGCCATTTTCCCAAGCAGCGACCCGACTAAACCCGGAATGGTACAGTACAGTACATGAACCGGAGCCGGCCGGATTCCGAGGCCGGGGCAGGCGGGCTCCATTGGCGGAGATTAGCGACTCCCGATTAACAACTCCCTTTAAGATCCGCCATCCATTCCCGTCGTTACTTCTCCGCTTCGCTTTTTTTTCGATTTGCTTGGTTTGGCTTTCTGTTGGACTGGCTTTGTGCTAAGTGGTGAGTTGCTTGGCTGCTGTGAGATAAGTTTGAGTTTGGGCCTTGCAGCGAGCAGAACGTGTTGTGGGTTTTGAGTTGTGAGTCGAACACCTGTTCGGGAGCGTTTGCATACCTGTTGATCTGGGGTTGTGCATTCGGCTGACATCATAACAGAGACATATACCCTGCTAGCTCTGGGAACGGAGAAGAAACGTCGCATAATTCAAGCGTACCGCTGGTTGCTTCCTTGATTCTCATTCCGGCATTGGAAATGGGATCCCCCATGTACACCCTCTACGTGGGGACGTTCATCCAACTCCCCCGCACCACCGCTCCGGACGAGAAACATGAGCTCGCCATCACCCGCGGCGCCCTCTGGGTGTCCGCCGCCGACGGCAAGATCAAGGGCTTCGACTGGAGCATCGCCACCGAGTCCGACCTGCACACCCTGCTCAAGCGCCACGGATGGGTGCTCGAGGGCGCAGGCACCCGCACCAGCGTGCGCGTCAAGCTTGTCCGAGCACGCGAAGAGCACAACGAGTTCTTCTTCCCCGGCTTTATCGGTACGGCTCCCATCCCCCACACCCAGAAGAGTCCCACCCTGCTTCCTACTTCCCTCCCCTTCCTCCAGTTCCCTCGGTGACCCCAATCCCGAGTGCTGGGGTAATATACCGTTCGAACCCCCGGACCGCCCTTTCTTTCAGCTTCCCATTAACCTCATTCCCAATCCCAAGAAGAGGGCTTCCCGGGGGAGAACCCCCGGACCCCCCTTTTTTTTTCAACTTCCCAGAAAGACTCGACCAGAAGTCCCAGAATGCGGGTTACCAGGGAGCTGAAAGAAAGGGGGGTCCGGGGGTTCTCCCCCGGGAAGTCCGTGGGACAGCCTCCCATCATGCACACCTGACTAACAACAAGGCAGACACCCACATCCACGCCCCGCAATACCCGAACACGGGGCTCTTCGGCAGCGCGACCCTCCTCGACTGGCTGCAAACCTACACCTTCCCGATGGAAGCCTCCTTCGCCAGCCCGGCCTCCCTGCCGAGCCTGCCTCCGCCCACCGCCTACCGCGCCTACTCGCAGGTCATCGCGCGGACGCTGAGCCACGGCACGACGACGGCCTCCTACTACGCGACCATCCACGTGCCGGCCACGAACCTGCTCGCGAGCCTCGCGCACCAGCGCGGCCAACGGGCCCTGATCGGCCGCGTCTGCATGGACAACCCGGCCACGTGCCCGACCACCCTGATCGACGAGTCCCCCGAGGACAGCATCCAGAACACCGAGGCCGTCATCGCGCACATCCACTCCCTCGCCCCAGCCAGCTCAAAAGAAACCCTCGTCAAACCCATCCTCACCCCGCGCTTCGCCCCCTCCTGCACCCCGGCCGCTCTATCGGGTCTCGCCGCCCTCGCCAAGCAGTACAAACCTTCGCTGCACATCCAAACGCACATCGCCGAGAACGTCAACGAGATCGCGCTGGTGCGCCAGCAGTTCCCGGACTGTAAGGACTATGCCTCCGTCTACGATACCGCGGGGCTACTCACGCCCCGGACCATCCTGGCGCACGCAGTGCACTTCTCCGCGGCGGAGCGGTCCCTCGTGGCATCCCGCGGCGCGAAGGTCAGCCACTGTCCCGCGAGCAACTCGGCACTGGGGTCGGGGATCTGTCCGGTGCGGTGGCTGCGAAGGGGCGGGGTGGTCGTGGGGCTGGGCAGCGACGTGAGCGGCGGGTATAGCGTGGGGCTGCTGGAGGGGGTGCGGCAGGCGTGCTTGGTCTCCCGATTAGTGGGCTTCTTGCATCCGGTCGACGAGGAGAAGGGCGCGGACGGGGTGGTCTCCGTCGAGGAGGCGCTGTACCTCGCGACGCGCGGCGGCGCGGCGGTCGTCGACCTGCCGGACCTGATCGGCGGGTTCGAGCTGGGGATGGCGTGGGATGCGCAGCTGATTCGTCTGGGCCGGTTTACGCCGGCGGGGCTGTGGGGGAGCGCCGGGGCGGAGGGGAATGTGGACGTGTTTGGGACGGAGAGCTGGACGGAGAAGGTGCATAAGTGGGTGTGGTCGGGGGATGATCGCAATGTGAGGGCGGTTTGGGTGCAGGGCCGCTTGGTGCATGGGGCGGACGGTGGTGATGTGAAGGGGCGGTGGGGTCGGTGGACGTGGGTGTGGGGGCTGGTTGGCGTGGGCGCGGCTTGGGTGGTTGTGAGGAGGGTGCATGGGTGAGGTGGTTTGGTTCTGTTGGCGGAGTCGTATAGAGTAATTTACGCGTTTATCTGTGCAAGTGGAGGGGGGTTCCCCATAAACCCAAGGTGTTTTCTTGGTTAATGGTTGTAAATAGTACTACAGCGGTGGGTATACTGAAGGGGGGCTCGCGGGGGGTTTCCCACCTTATCCTAAGAAGATTCCCTATACGGAGTGTGAATTCATCACGATTCATATCTCACAAAGCCCCGGGAGTATCGATGGTGTTTCCTTTAGTATATAGCTATTCTGTATGCAGAATACTAGAGCTACGAATTTTACTATTAGGGGGGTCTCCCCCCTATTAACTCAGAACATCTTGCTTGGTGGACCTGTACTATGTACTGGACTTCAGTAGTTTACTATAATCGATTATCAGACATCTCTTCTATTTTACTGACAGTTTGTTCGCAGAATGCTATATCTGTGTATTCTAGAAGGGGGGTATGGGGGGTCTCCCCCCATCACTTGATGGTATCTTCTCAAGTATCCTGAGCAAAGCAGTACGCAGCGTCCCGTAAGTACTAGGTAGCTACTCTAAGCTGTGTGTCTCCCATCAGTCCCAAGATGACCTCTGCAGGCCTTCGAGACGTTCCTGCACCTAAGCAACAAGCAACACGCCAGCAACCCTCCCACCCTAGTAGTTCCTCAACCAAGGACACCGCGCCGTATGCCACCGCCGACACAGCGCGCACTTGAACGCGCGGGGGTTCGCTCCGAGACCATCAATAAGGGTCGATCTTCATGCCACGGTGGATATACATACTCTGCCAGTATTCTTCGGAAGGTGGCGAGGGATCCGACGCGCGCGGTTGTAAGTGCTGCTAGACCTCTCATCAGTTTGCGGTTGTGAGGTGTGCAGTTCACATACGCGTGGTTCCGACTGTGTTGTGTCTGTTGCTTTGGATGTATCCTTGGTCGTGGAAGTGCCTTTGGTTTCGCTGGGAGTAAGTTCTTTTGTCTCTGCTTCAGGAGGATCCTTCGTTCGCACGTCAGGGGTGTTTTGATGCTTGAAAGCCTCGTTGGCTTTTGCTTTTGCTTTCAGCTTGGAGGTGTGGTCGTTCCTGTATGCGAATAGTACTTGGAGCCCACTCATTGCCTGGACGCTGTGGATGGGACTTACGGTGCCATTTTGGGGATGGCTCAGGTGAGAGTCGAGTTCGAATGGAGGTGTGGACAGGAGGTCATCGTTCTAGGGACTATATATGCTATAGTTGTGAGTCATTGTATAGACGTTTTTGAATGGTTTCCGGTGTGACCCCGTGTCGACGTCATTGTATACTCGTGAGCAGCAGTATTTAGACTGGTAGAGCAGAGGTTGATCAGCTGGGGAGATGCCAGCTGTCTGGTATATAGGGTGATGATGCGATGCGCAAAGTGTACGTGGACGCGCTAAGCTTATATTCGTCTACCACATCCAGGGTCCCTTCCAGGGCTAAGTTTCAGCTAGTGTTGCTACTGACCTTGTACAGCAGTCATAGCATAAGCTCGCACGCTCTGTATCCGATGGCAGATGACTTGTAGACACATTGGTCTGCTCGTGACATTGAGAGGCGGACCTTGGTTGTTTTGTATTTTGTCATCAATCAGTAGCCAAACTCTCGATCTACTCTTGAGCTGAATTCCTTAGTCAGTTATCTCTTTTAGCAGCATCTTGTCTACAGCGAAGATGGAATGAACCCGAGGGTTGTACTGTTGCCGCGCTCACATGACTGGACCTGCCTATAGACCATCGCACCTGCCGTGCTGTCAGAAACAGACATACAACCATCCATCCACTGAACCATCCTTTCTGATCTGGTCCACCACCAGGACGACAAACCAAGGTCGCAAGATGTCGAGATAGGTTTCTCCTACAATCCACCAGCACAGACACACTCTAGCTAACGCCCATTAAGTTCCAGCAACCAGCAACCAAGGAAACTATTTAAAGCACCGTCTCGAGGCACGAACTGAGACCCACAAACGTCTGTCAACCCCTGTCACACCAGCCGTGCAGATACATCAGTATCACACCCGTGAATCCACAGCCACCCCGCGAGTCATGTTTCCCAGAATATCCGTCGGAGCAAGCTCCGTCATCAGCCAAGACAAATGTCCGTCCACCACTAACGCGACCTGTTCCATCTCCAAGACCCTTCAATCTAACCGAGCGGAGGATCGGCAGACGCTCGAGCCCAACCACCATCCACATTGAACATCACCACAAGAACTCGTTCACAAAATGCGCAATGCACAATGTGGAAGTGTATGTGCTTTTTCTATTCAAACTGGCAACTCGAATAGCATCTCAAATCATCTGCTGCAGGCACAGGGCGTACACCTCGCGTACAACTCAAACTACCGACGTTTCACCTCCGCGACCCCCGCTCCACCCCGTTCCACCATGCGACACTAAATCCTGCAGAGATCTTGGCGCGGCACTTGCCTCTACTCCCGACACGGACACACGGAGTCTTATACTATTCTAACCACTCAAACACCCGGCGTGCCTGAGATTGGTGGAACAGATGTCATTCCAAGACTTTGGCAGGGACCGAGCGCTGACCTGCATGACAGGCCGAGGGAGCTCTCAGGAGCAAGCAAAGCTCTCCTCCCTTGGTATTTATACCCCGATCACCAGCACTAGTACTGTACATGCTACACACCGACAATGCTCAAAGCGTCGCTTCTGTCGTTCGTGGCCTTCACGGCCCAGGTCGCCAACGCGGCCTTTGGCATCACCACCAGCTCCAGCGCCTATGTCATCGACACCAATGCGTCGACCCAGCTGAAGTTCACCGTCAGCCGCAGCAGCTGCGACATCACATCCATCATTCACTATGGCACGGAGCTGCAGTACTCCAGTCAGGGCAGTCACATTGGGTCCGGTCTGGGCTCCGCGACGGTGACCGCCGTGCAGTCCGGGGACTACATCAAGGTGACTTGTGTTACGGACACCCTGACGCAGTACATGGTGGTGCATAATGGCGATCCGGTCATCCATATGGCCACATATATCACTGCCGGTGAGTTGGTTGTCTCGTGGGACGTGATTAACATGACTGACATCTGGCAGAACCGTCGATTGGCGAGCTGCGGTTCATCGCTCGACTGAATTCAGACGTGCTACCGAACGAGGAGCCGTTTGGCGACGTTTCAACCACCGCTGACGGGACTGCCATTGAGGGATCGGATGTGGTATGTAACTTTCTGACCTTTGACTGAGAAGATTCTGACATAAATAGTTCTTGGTCGGCAGTGAAACTCGTAGCAAGTTCTACTCGAGCGAGCGGTTTATCGACGATCAGCGACACTGTAAGTACTATCGTCTCGGGTCTGGGGTTTTACTGACCTTACAGGCATCGCCGGGGATGCCCACCGCGTCTGCATGATCTTGAATCAATATGAAAGCTCCTCAGGGGGTCCTTTCCACAGGTATGTTTCCAGCCAGGTCGGTTGACATGGTTCTGACAACACAGGGATATCAACTCAAACAACGGAGGAAGCTACAATGCCCTATACTGGTACATGGTAAGTAGCCTTCCGACGTCGATGATTGCCGCTAACCGTCCAGAACTCCGGCCATGTCCAAACCGAGTCCTACCGGATGGGTCTCCACGGCCCCTACTCGATGTACTTCAGTCGCAGCGGCACCCCCAGCACCAGCATCGATACCTCATTCTTCGCGGACCTCGACATCCAAGGCTATGTTGCTGCCTCCGGCCGAGGCAAAGTGACCGGCACGGCATCGGGAGCAGACTCCAGCATGGACTGGGTTGTCCACTGGTATGCGCCTTTTTCTCAGTGTGATTGTCATCTAATGAGGATAGGTACAACGATGCGGCACAGTACTGGGCCTACACCAGCTCCAGCGGCAGCTTCACCTCGCCCGCCATGAAGCCCGGAACCTACACCATGGTCTACTACCAAGGCGAGTACGCGGTCGCCACGAGCTCGGTCACCGTGTCCGCCGGATCGACCACGACGAAGAATATTTCGGGGTCCGTGAAGACCGGCACTACCATCTTCAAGATTGGTGAATGGGACGGACAGTACGTACCCTGGCTGCAGGCACTGTACTAGTACTGACCTCACAGACCAACCGGCTTCCGCAACGCAGCCAACCAGCTCCGCATGCACCCATCCGACTCGCGCATGTCCTCCTGGGGTCCACTGACCTACACGGTTGGCAGTTCAGCTTTGACTGACTTCCCTATGGCTGTGTTTAAGAGCGTCAACAACCCGGTCACCATCAAATTCACTGCGACATCCGCGCAGACCGGCGCTGCGACCCTGCGGATCGGAACGACCTTGTCGTTTGCCGGTGGACGGCCCCAGGCGACGGTACTACCCCTTCTCCTGGGAAGTGTCTCGGTCGCTAACTTGCAGTAGATTAACAGCTATACCGGAAGTGCACCAGCCGCGCCAACAAACCTGGACTCTCGGGGCGTGACCCGCGGTGCGTATCGTGGGTTGGGCGAAGTGTACGATGTGTCCATCCCGTCGGGGACGATCGTCGCGGGAACAAATACAGTAAGTTGGCTTGTGTGGCTTGGTTGACGTTGCTAATCGTGATGTGCAGATTACGATCAACGTGATCTCTGGTAGTTCGGGAGATACATATTTGAGTCCAAACTTTGTAAGTTTCTGATTGTGGTTGTGTTGAGTGAGGTATGTGCTAACGAGTGTAGATATTCGATTGTGTGGAGTTGTTCCAGTAGCTGGTTGGTTCTGGGGCTGTTTGGTGCAGCCGGGAGTAGATGGCTGTGCTGGACAATTCTGGTCGTATGTAAAGACATCATACCAATTGAGATTCGAACACTGATGTAATCTGCTGTCAACGTACTGCTCTGCTTGAACAGATGATGTGTGTTTCAGCCAGTCTACTCAGCCCCGTGCAACTCTTTTTTTCGAGGCACACTCAAATGGCATTGGTTGTTCTGTCTCTTACAGTAGTAAGAGGTAGCTGTACTTCCTCCTCTCGGACCCCCGTACCCGCAGAGGAAATAACGAGATGCATGCGAAGAGATGGGAACCAACTATATTGTAAATTACTTATCGTTTCAAGATAAGGAACATATTGAAGAAGGCCCCCATCAGCTCTCTTATCATAGAGGAAGTAGTTATAATATTCTGTAAACAGGGTATCTTTGCTATGGTAACCGAAAGAATCATACCCCCTGGTAGATCAACGGGTCGGTCCGTCGATTGTTTAGGGTGCACGTGAGCTACCAATGTACACACAGTCCTTCCCACACTTTGACTGTAGACTGTTCACTCCATGTACCGTAAAATACTTATTCACCTGCCATTGTTGATCTATCATATTTCCCACCTAGGTAACCATGCTCGACAGTGACTGACCGACACTTCTCAGATGTCTGCACGCACTTTCATCGCCCATCAACACCCGACGACCCCATCCACACCTATACAGTCTTCTCCCCAACCGCAACAGCCTTCGCGCCCCGATATCGTGGATCTCCACATCCACACCCCTCTCCCCCAAATCAGATCCCAATGAATCCACCGCATCCTCATCCCCACCCTCACCATCCCCCACTCCCCGCCCCAGCAAACCCCAATACAGACTCATCGAAGACGTCGAAGCCCTACACCGATACCGCCCCGGCGGCTCCCCCCCTCTCCAAGTCGGGGATCACTTAGCGGAAGACCGATACCAGCTAGTCCACAAACTCGGCTCTGGGGGCTACTCGACCATCTGGCTCGCCCGTGATCTCCGGGAGGCCCGCTATGTCGCCGTGAAGACGATTACCGCGGACGCCAGCGATGACACGCCGGAAGCTACGCTTCTACATTCTCTTGGGCCATTGCCACCTCGACCGGGAAAGGAAGTGTTCCCGCCCCTTCTGGACGATTTCTGGGTTGCTGGGTGCAATGGCCGGCATTGGTGTGTGGTGACGCCGCCGGCGCGGATGAGCGTGTTCGATGCCAAGGAGGTTTCAACCTTCGGTCTGTTCCGGCCCCGGGTCGCGCAATCGATGATCGCCCAGCTCATTCGCGGGGTCTCATTCCTCCACAGTCTGGGGGTTGTGCATGGTGGCTAGTTCTTGCTTTTTCCCGACGGGCTGTATGGTGGGTTTCTTTATTTGTGCTGACTCTCCGTAAATACCCCCTGTAGATCTGCATCTAGGCAATATTCTGGTTCAGTTTCCCACGTCCCTCGACAGTATCGCCCCGTCAGAACTGTACGAGCGGTACGGCGTCCCCGAGTCTGAAGAGGTTGTTCGTCTCGACGGCAAGCCTTTGGCGGAGGGCGTCCCCGCCCGCGTCTTTGTGCCGGGGTGGTTCGGCGTGCGCAGCGAGGACCTCCCCCTCGCCGAGGCGGCGATCACGCTCACCGACTTCGGGGAATTCCTTCCAGCCCCGCGAGACCGTGAGGACCGCCCCCAAAACCCTGCCGCTCCTTCAGCCGCCTGAGGCGAGATTCTCCGACGAGCCGCTCTCCTTCGCCTCGGACATCTGGACGCTCGCTTGTACGATTTGGGAAATCCTCGGGCAACGCCCGCTGTTCGAGACGTTCTTCCCGAGTCCGGATCGGGTGACGGCGGAGCAGGTCGAAGTGCTCGGGAAGTTACCGGATGAGTGGTGGGGGAAGTGGGGGAGGAGGTTGGACTGGTTCAGTGAAGAGGGCGAACTGGATCTGGTGAAGACGGGGCGGGCGGGGCCCGGTGGGGGGGTCTAGGTCTAGGTCCTGGGAGCGGAGGTTTGAGGATAGTGTGCAGAAGCCGCGGGCTGAGGTGGGCTTCGGGCAAGTGGCGTAGGAGGAGAGGGCGGCGTTGATGGAGATGTTGCGCGGGATGTTGGCTTTTCGGCCTGCGGAGAGGGTCTCGGCGCGGCAGGTTGTCGAGTCGCGGTGGATGAGGGGGTGGGGGGTGGGGGATGCCGGCTTTGGAGGAGAGCTGGAGAATCTCGAGCACGGAGGTGGAAAGGAACTGAGAAGATCATCCATCCATGGCGCCTACGGGCCATCAAGGCGAGCCGCCGTTGCGGCCCCAGGGCTTCCCACGCTATGCCCTGGTGGAGAGAACTCAGGACTTTCGGTCTTTGCCAGAATGCTGACTTGCTGGAGAATCGAGACACGCTCTGGAGAGTCTAGAGCCCCTTCTTACGGGCCTTTTGGAGTGGCTACCACCTACCCCCGTGGTGTCCAGGCGCGTGGTGCAATCTGTGGCCGATTCCCCTTCGTGGTGCACTTCTCGTCTTGACTCGATGTATAGCCATAGTCACACCAAGTTGAATCAGAGGAGATGCTGTCGTCCTTGTATTCTCATCGCAACGTGTCTTGCTATCCTCTACTTCGTTCTCGCTATAGTAGCCGCGCGCCCCCCAGCCATGAATCTGCTTGTGAAGGCCATGCGGGTTGGTTGGTATTGGATCTTGGGGAGGTGTCCTTATTCCGTGGACTTATAGGGGTATGATGTCTTCGAAGAAACACCTCGTTTTGTGATGTATGTAAATTGGTTATGCCGTGGTGCCCGCTAGGATGATTGTCCTTTCACTGCGCATCGCAATCGCAGTGTGCTAAAGCATATATCCTTCCGGAAATGCTATATTGACCAAAGGTCTAATCAGACCCAAAGCTGAATGTATTGTCTTGTGCAAAGGCTTCCATGGAGTGGCTGATCAAAATCGGCTGGGGTCCTCGATTTACTATTAAGTGGTTGATTGATTGGGGGGCGGGGAAGGAAACAACGTGGAAAGTAGACGACGACACTCAGCCCGGAGGTGTTGCAATGTCCTTGACGGGCCTCGTTCTGAGCGAAGATTCTCTGCGGGTAGTTTGTGCTCGTACCGATCACTACGTGCAGGTCTAAGGAAGTTGTGGGGATGGGTGGATGGCTACATGTGCTGGCACTGGCAAAATCCTGGTCCAGCTGAAGAGATATGCCCCGCCAATAGATGTGGTACAGGAAGGCTGGGAAGGCCGATGGTCTTGATGCTTCTGAGAAACATATTCGGAGGTGCAGACGACGCTCTCAGTCGGCTACCGCTTGACAGCTGACGAGTGGTCTAGCTCCCTGGAGGCTTCATCGGTTCCCCGCGGAGTGCGCAATGTCCTATGTCTCAGCATGGAGTGGGAGTTCTGAGGGTATAAAGATATCGATGATAAGTGACCGCCTCGAAGGCAATCCACGAGACATTCAGCTTGTACGACCTGATCATTAAGATTTGTATGACGCCGACAGAGTCACCAGGTCAAACAGTGCGATTGTTTGTTCTTGCTGTCCACATTTTCAGTGACATCTCAGATCTCGAACACAGCACAGACCCCAGATCTCAGTACGGAGAACAACATCGGAACTTCAAACAGGAACGAACCGCCCATCAGAACCAGGCAAATCGATTCGGTGCTGTTTTCATCAATTCCGGCCAGGGGTTGGGCCGAGCCCCTGTCCAACATTCCAGCGAGAGAAGCCGAACACAGAACAGCGGCATCCCTGGTTACCCATGCAGCCGCCGCTGTTTGTTTGTTCTACCGTCAGTCAACAACCACAACCTGACTCGGTTTGCTTGGCAGCATTGGAATCGTGGCCATTCTGTTGCAATATCCACTCTGTCATACAGGCAGCCGAAACCGTCCTGCTCGGAAATATGTTTGTGGAGCGTATATATAGCGAAAGGGCCGCATGATGGCGTCGATGGTGGCTGAAATGGCACTCGCGTTCCGTTATATGAGCATCTTTTCTTACATTGTGCCTGCTCATCGACACCCACCAACCAAGCAAGATGCATGTGAAGCTATCATGTCTTGCCGCGATTGCGATCGCCTTACTTCCATCCTCGGTGGTCGCGCGGGGGAAGAAGATCCCCTTCGGTCGCGACGTGCAACTCCTCGCGGAACTGGGGATAGAGCCGGACCTTGACCGTCATGAGTACGCAAGCATTCATTCGGCCGTTTCACACTCGGCGATGGTGACGATAAAAGACGAATACGTCTCGGTAAGATCGCAGAGACTTTGTGCTCGGTGGTACGGATCTAACGTCCGTAGATCCCGATCGATCACAACAACGCATCGGCGGGTACATACAGAAACCGATTCTGGGTCAGTGACGAGTTCTATCAAGCCGGGAACCCGATCTTGGTTTACGACGCCGGAGAGACGGAGGCAGCCTCGGTCGCGCAGGCGCACCTCACTTCGTCGCTGTCGTTCTTCCGGTCAACGCTGGAGGAGTTCAATGCCATGGGGATCATTTGGGAGCATAGGTTCGTCTTCTCACACCCAAGAGCTTTGATCGGCTCAGCGTACTGACAGCGTCAGATACTATGGCAAATCGACCCCGTTCCCGATAGACTACGACACTCCGTCAGAGAACTATCAATACCTCACAACCAAGCAAGCGCTCGCAGATCTCCCGTACTTTGCACGGAATTTCAGTCGCAAGGCCCATCCTGATGTCGATCTCACTCCCGCAGGAACCCCCTGGGTCATGATCGGTGGCTCGTACGCTGGCATCCGCGCGGCCTTGACTCGCCAGGAGTACCCGGATACCATCTTCGCTGCCTGGTCCTCCTCGGCACCGGTCCAAGCCCAAGTGAACATGACGAACTACTTCGACCAGGTCTACCGAGGATTGGTGGCCAGTGGGTGGGCCAACTGCACCAAGGACATTCGCGCCGGGCTAGAATACATCGACGAGCAGCTGTCGAGTAATCAAACGGCAGGGTCGATCAAGCAACTGTTCCTCGGCTCAGAAGCCGAGAAGAACTCCAACGGGGACTTCACCGCCGCGCTGGTGGCCATGTACGGGAGTTTCCAGTCGTATGGCATGGACGGGGGCACGGCCAGCCTGGGGGCTTTCTGCGAGTACATGGAAACCGACCCGAACACCAACCAGACTGCCGGTCCCGACGGGCTGGCCCCCATCTACGGCAAGCAATATGTGGCGGAGCGCTGGGCGGCTTGGCCCGTGCTGACGGCCTTGGTCAACCAGAACATGGACACCAATTGCAGGCGCCAGAACACCAGCCAGCCGCTGGAGTGCGATCTGAGCAAGCCGTACGGCGACCCTTCGGCCATCAGCTGGACCTGGCAGTACTGCACCGAATGGGGGTTCTACCAGGCCAACAATGCCGGTCCCCACGCGCTGCTCTCAAGCTATCAGACCCTCGAGTATCAGCAGCATATCTGCAATCGGCAGTTCCCCGACGCGATCAAGAAGGGGCTATTACCGGCCCAGCCTCTGACGGACCAGACCAACCGCGAGTTCGGCGGGTGGTCCATCCGACCCTCGAACACATATACCAGTGGAGGGGAATTCGATCCGTGGCGGACCTTGTCCGTCCTGTCGACAGAGGACACGGCGCCCCAGGGCGTTCAATTCTCCAGCGACATCCCGTCGTGTGGAGTGACGACCAACGAGAATACGGTCTTTGGATATATCCTGGAGAACTCGGAGCACTGCTTCGACTTTCAGATGCTCCCCACGGCCGGCAAACTGTCACGCGGGATGTTCACCACGGCGCTGTTGCAGTGGCTGCCGTGCTTTGGAACAGGAGTGGGGGCGTCGACCAGAAGTTGAGCGAGCGAAACGATCGACCCAATTCAATGTACATATTAGGCCAGACTCGGATGTTCTCAAGTTCCAGCAGATGGAGAGAAGATTAGGAGGAGAAGGAGCTGGATGAATAATAGTGACTCTGATTGAAACTGCCGCTTCCGTCCTTCTAACCCTTTCCGGAGATGCTTGCGAAGTTCCCCCGGGCTCCGAGGCCTCGAGCCATCAAATGACGAATGATTTCCTTCCCAATCATTGCTGGCCTCGTCGCTTTAACCTTTCTTTATCCTCTGGCCCCTCAACTTTAAGTGCTAGCATGTCCTGATGAGGCACATGGGGGCGTTTTATGACATGTGTCTCCACCGAGGAATCACTATGCCTAAATGCCCCTGCCGTATCGTCAGCGGGCACTGAGTCGGGTATAAATAAGTATAGCTGGAACCTGTGCGGAGATAATTTGCTGCAGGTTTACCTCAAACCTACCTCAAATACAGCTCATTTATTCATCACTCTACAATCAGCCAGGCCGTTCTCTTCCTCCCAGGCATACCTCCAGCGTCATGCTGACTCTAATCGCTCTGGTCAGCGGGGCACTGTACCTGACATTTCAGATCCTGCGCTCCATCCAACAAACATTCAGAAACCGCAGAACGGCAAAATCGCTGGGCTGCGAGCCTCCCCGGAAGATCCCATCTGATCCTCTTGGTCTCAAGAGTTTCTTTGAACTCGCACGAGCAGCGAAGGACAGCCGCGTGGTCGAGTATATTGCGGGATTCTACGAACAGTATGGACCCACGTTCAGCTTGACCGGGCTAGGAGGGGTCTCGATCCTGTCCACGGTTGAGCCTGAGAATCTGAAAGCCCTCCTAGCCACCCAATTCCATGACTTCAGTCTGGGTACCCGCCACCGCGAGTTCTATCCACTGCTTGGGGACGGCATTTTCACGCTGGATGGTGCGGGCTGGTCGCATGCCCGAGCGTTGTTGCGGCCGCAGTTCACGCGGGATCAGGTAAGAACAAACCATACTTCTCACGCGTCTCATGGTCCAGAAACTGAACGCGGACAGGTGGCGGATCTAGATCTGATGGACGGTCACGTCTCCCGGCTGATCGAGCTGATTCCGAAAAATGGCTGCGATTTCGATATCCAGCGCCTCTTCTTTCTGTTGACCATCGACTCCGCGACCCATTTTCTGTTTGGCGAGTCGGTCAACGCGATGCACTCCTCTAGCCACGCCGGGGTTCTGGAGAAGACGACCGTCGGAGATGCACAGGGCTTCGCGGAGGCATTCAACCTGTCGCAGGAGTACCTCTTCACCCGTAACCGGTTCATGGACCTGTACTGGCTAGTCAACCCCAAAGAGTTCCAGGACGCCAACAAGCGCGTGCATGAGGTCGTCGACCACTACGTCCGACTGGCCCTTGCCTCAAAGAACAATCCGGCCAAGACTGCCGACAGATACATCTTCGCCGAGGCGCTGGCCGCCGAGACCGATGATCCGAGGGTTCTGCGCGATAACATGCTCAATATTCTGTTGGCAGGACGTGACACGACGGCCAGTCTGCTGAGCTCGGCGTTCTTTTACCTGGCGCGTCATCCCGCGGTCTGGGACCGGCTGCGGCGGGCTGTCATCGAGGAATTCGGTGATAGTGTGCATCCGCGAGCGAAGATCACGCAGGCGCGGTTGAAGGACATCCCATATCTGCGGTATTTCCTGAACGAAGGTAAGCCAGAAATCATTTCCCTTGAATGAGGGTTGGGACTGACGACTCGACTAGTCCTCCGTCTGCTGCCTCCCGTGCCACTCAACTTCCGTGTCGCTGTCAAAGACACGTCACTCCCGGTGGGCGGCGGCCCGGACGGCAAGGCCCCCGTGTTTATTCGCAAGGGCCAGCTCGTCACGTACTCCGTCTATGCGATGCATCGGCGGGAGGACCTCTACGGGCCTGATGCGCGAAGCTTCCGGCCGGAACGCTGGGAGGAGAACGCCATCCGCGGGTGGGACTTCCTGCCGTTCAACGGCGGACCCCGGATCTGTCTTGGTCGTGAGTTATATCCCACAATTCACGCCCCCCGTCACTTCCCCTATTAGGTAAATGCTGTGGCTAACTTGCTGGATGATAAGAGCAATACGCCCTCACCGAAGCGAGCTATACCCTGGTCCGCCTGCTGCAGCATTTCGACCGGATCGAAAATGCCGCACCGGCGGTGGAGGAACCCCGGATCATGTCCAATCTGACCCTGTCGCATTTGCATGGGGTGGATATTCGCCTGTACCCGGCAGCGGCCTCGTAGGATTTTTCTTTCTTCTGAATTTTCGATGTATATGTTGTTTTAAGCGATATGCAACCCACCTCGTATCGGGTGAGACAAGTCTATATTGTCGCGGGTGGATGGCTACTCTCCCCCTCATCATTCTGAGACAAGACATGACGATATATACGAGATCCTACGTTTTCCTGCATGAGGTGTCTCGTCATTTATGGTGTTTGAATCATCTGATCTATCTTCTATATCGAATGTGTGTCTGGTGCCTTGTTGTTCCGAGTCATGTCTCGGAGATGGCCCGGAAGTATAGGCAACCTTCCCAACACCACTCCGTAACCTTCACGGAATCCTGCCATGCGGGAATGCAGATTCCACAACTAGCACAGGGGACGAACGTGCGAGAATTTCCACGACTGTGTGGAAAGCCAGAACTTCCTCGGCTACGCTACAAGGGAGATTATCAGATGGGCTCGTGTGATGTAAGGTCTCCGAGGTGCAGGTGCAGGTACTGCGCGTACCGGCCAGCATCGTCGAACGGAAACGGACGATCATGATGTCAAGGCCACATACACACACACACACACACACACACAACAAAAGCCAACGACGAATGTTGGAGTGATGTATTTGTTTTGATATTTTGGGGGGAATTCGGAGATTCGATCGGCGAGAATACCGCGTAGACACGATTGCTGCATGACGGCACAGCCTTAACGTCAGATTATAGTCTAGGGTCCCTTCTTCGTGCTGATGCTGACGGAGGGCGAACAGCACAAAGTGCTTGTTTCTATAATTAAGTCAATCCACTTTTTGGCTGACAGTAGAAAAGAAATGTGTTTTCTTTTCAGGGGGGGACAATTGCATAGAGTTTCGCTTCAGATAGACATTAGTTTATGGGGTAGGGTTTGTGATGATACAGTCCTGAAGATCCAATGATCATTTAACTTGATACATGAGCAGGGTACTCCGTAAGCGATCGGGATCGACGGGGTAGATGAGGATCGACTGGCTTCAAGTTTGGGGTTGTTGCGATGGATGTGCTGTATGTACTCTTGTTTTTGTTGAAGTAAAGTAAAAATAGAAGGCAGAGTTCTCATTTTGCATGTTGTTCGGTATGTCGAGTACTCTGTAGAATTGTAAAAGATGGGAGGATTGTACAGTAAGCATTACAGAGTACTTGGTAGAATGTGGTGATGGATCACCAGCCGCACAATTTCCCACAGCACAGCACATGATGGGAGATTTCCTCGTTGTGGAGACAGCCAGACAGCCAGACAGCCAGACAGAGCATGGAATGTCTCATTCTTCCCCCGCCTTTCTGTGCCAATCACCGTCTGTCTCCGACTTCGCCGCCCATTATCGCTGACTGATTGTTCCCCAGGCCAATCACCACTTGCACTCCAAAGCCAATCGGTCGTGGCCGGCGCCCAACCTTGAAGGCAGCGGACTGTCCGTGAGTGGGCCGGCCAAGTTTCTTCTTCATCTTCTCTTTTGCCTCCATCATTCAATCAATCCCGTTCAGCCTGCAGTATTCCGTACCAGTGCATTATTCTGCCCATCGGGGAGGGTTCCTGGGGCAGTGCCAAGTCCCTCTGCACCCCAATTCCACCACTAATTCAACCACCGTGGACCACTTTAGTTCCTGTCTCCTCTCTTTCGTCCTTTCATGTGTTCATTGACTTTGTTCTTGCTTTGGTTCCTTTGATCTCCGTCCTCCATTGCCTCCTTAGGAAATTCGTCTTCCACGGCCTTGTTCCCCACCGGATCTGGTGGGAGTGCTCGCCGCTCCATACTTAAATACCCGTCATTCCCGTTGACATCCCTTCTTCATCACTCAGCCTTCTCCTCGTTCTACAACATAATATCTACCTTTGTACAGGATTCTTATTCTCGTCTCATTCTCCCATCTTCTTCTTAACACCTAATTTCCGCGATCATGAAGTTCCTCGCTTCTCTCGCTCTGCTCGTTTCCGCTGTTGCGGCCAGCCCCATCCAAGCTCGCGACACCGCTAAGAGCTTCTACCTCAAGACCTCCGGCGCTGCCAACGACGCTCACAACAACCTCTACGTTTACGCCTATCACACCGGCGCTGGCTTCAATGATGCCGTGCTCACCTCCGACACTTCCAAAGCCAGAGCTGTTACCCTGAACGGCACAAACGCTCAGTTCGATTTGGGCACTACTTTCCCCTGGGGTTTCAAGATGGGTGCCAGCACCAACTATGCTTGTCAGTTTTCGCCTCCACGAAGATAAAAAAAAAATACCTATTGGGCTAACCTCGTGTTGTAGCATGGGAACCCGTCCAGATCAATGTCGGTTACGGTGACGAAGGTTTCTCGGTCAACGGTACGAGCCTTCAGTGGTCGGAGCAGAACGGTTTCGGCGGCTGGTTGGGTAAGTGAACCCCGATTGCACGAAATTTAACTATCTGGATCCTTGTCACTGACAAATTCTCTTTCTTATCTATTCTAGTCTGCGACTGGTACCACAATGCCCCTCAGCTCTTCTGGCTCTACAAGTACCTGCCGGCCACGATCCCTTCCTCCTGCGACAAGGTCGACCTCACCGTTGAATATACCTCCTAGACAAGGCACGAGGGGGGTTTTTTTTGTTTTACCACCACCACACCGAGGCTCGTGGTTGATGAATCATACGACGCAAAGATAAAGATCCGGAGAACTATTCGCCACTTCCCCGCCAGCTTGACGCTTACAAGATCTGTATCAGTACGACGACGGCTAAGACTTTTCTCTCTGATGTTAATGCTAATTAATCATAATAATGACCTGCGAAGGATGATGATGGGAAGCCCAATGTATCTATGTGTGATTCTTGCGATAGCGTTCTGCTTTTGTTGAGTTCTAGCTATCGATGGTTCTGGGGGAGCACCAGTGAGAAATATATACCGAGTACAAACTATACATACATCCAGTGGATCTTATTTTTTGCTAGTATCTGCGAGTCGGGAGGTAAAGGAAGCAATTATTGGCAATAGTGGCTTGTAGATGTGCAGGATACTGGTTGCAAGGAGCGAATGGAGGTGCAAGGGCATGCACAACATTTGCCCAAGATGTGCGTTGCATCATGTCATCCATGATCCATGGGTGAATGCCTGGCTGCCTCAGGCCAGTGACTACCAAAAATAGCTGCGTGTCTCACAAATGGCCCAATCGGGTTAGTCCCTCCCTCTCCTCCTTCTTGCTAGTCTCTCGCTTCTCTCTCTCTCGCTCGCTCTCGCTCGCCTCTCGTCTTCTGCTGCGCCTGACTGTGGTCTGCTTGGGCCTTTTTTTTACTCTTATATCCTCTTTTCCTCTGCATCGTCTCCAGACAAGTGTCAGTCGCTTCTCTGTCCTCATCCTTTGCAGTTTTGTTGAGCGCCAGACCCCGTCACTCGCTTTGTTTACCCACCCCGACTCTCGCTGGACCCTGCCGATAATCTATCAGCCGATCTGCATGTTTCAGGCCCGCTGGCCTAAAAAGACCGACCACCCTCTGCAGTTCCATCGTCTTGTCAATCTCTGGGCATCGTTTCCATCGCCATCGACTGCATCATCCGTTTAATCTCAATCATTCGACACCTTGTACCTTCTCGTCTGAGAGACGAATCCTCATCACAGCGACGGGCCCACGTCGATCGGACCCTGAATTTCGCCAAGGGGGATCACTCGACCCCTCGGTTTTCACCCACTCTCTACGACCTCCATCATCCACACAGCCCGCACAGCCCGCACAACCATGCGTTCCCTATACCTCCTACCCGCCTTGTGCATCCTCCTCCTACTGGGGACGATCTCATCGGCGTTCCCCTCCCCTGGGGACGAATTAGCGCACGGTCAATTCCTGCGGCGAGCTGGTCAGTACCGCCTCAGCCCCTAAACGCTGGCTCACTTTGCCTGCATACTGACCATTCCAAAGACACCACAGCAGCCGACAGCGCCACGACCGGACAAGCCGCCACGACCGGCAAGAGTGCAGCCAAGACCGACTCCGCTACCGACTCGGCCACCGACTCGGCCAAGGAGACCGCTTCAGGGACGAAAGCCACCGGCAAAGCCACGGGGACCGCAACGGGGACGGCCACTGGCACCGCGACGGGGACCGACACGAACAGCGGGACCGAGACGGGATCCGATTCCTCCACCAAGAAGGGCAGCACGAAGACGACGTCGAGCAACTCGACGACCACCAATGCCTGGGCCGGTGGCATCTCGATGCTGACGCCCGCGACGACGACCACAACCTACTACAAGATCGGCAACTCGGTGACGTTCGCCTGGAACTACACCTCGCTGGACGTGACCCCGACGGCGGTCAACGTCATCGCCTCGTGCAGCCTGAACAGCCACAAGTACACGATCACGCAGAACATGACCGTCAAGGAGACCAACAAGGTCGTCTGGGACACCGGAGAGTACAAGGCCAACGCGACGGTCCCGCTGCTGACCGCCTCGTACACGCTGATCGTCTGGGACGCCAGCAAGGCCATCTCCGACACGGCCAAGGGCGGCCACCTCAGCGCCGCCAGTTACACCTTCGCCATGTACAGTCCGCAGCCGTACACGCCGTTGAATGGTTAGTTTTCTTCCGACCCTTTTTTTTTGTCTCTTTCAGAACTAACCGATATCCCCTCCGCAGGCTTCGTCTGCGCCACCTGCAGCGGCGCCCTCTCCGAACTCGAACGACAAGGTCTGAAGTTCGTGTTCGGCATGGTCCTCATCACGATCACCACCTTCACCTGGTTCGCGGGTGACTTTGGGGTCTTTTCCACATAGGTCGACTACTATTTGTATCAATGCCATGAAAGCCAACATCGTATTTTTAGTTTTCTGATCCGCGAAAGAAAATGTAATCCATCCTGCATCATGTTTTGGTTTGTGCAAAGCGAAGGGTTTGTTGCTTTTTTTTGTGCTCTCATCATATTATGAATAATAGCGATCTTTATTTGTGTCTGTGTTGTTTCGGTTGGCGTGTCTCTTTTTTTCTTGGCCGAGGGTGGTGATAATGTATGTTGTTGATAGACTGATGATTACCTCATGGAGATTTTGGGAAAGATGTGTGTTTCTGTGGATTGGTAATTGTACTGTAGATGAGACCGCTAAGGACTACGGAATAGATATGTGTCCTGTACTTGGATCTGCGTGTTATTACTGTATGTGATTATGTACGTGTGTGTGTGTGTGTGTGTGTGTGTGTGTTTGCATATGCAGGAATGCATGTTTCCAATGCACGGGGTTGTTTTGGTACAGGTACAGTACGTCTTCTACTGGGATCCTGGGATCCTGGGATCCTGGGATACTGGAATGGAAAGGTTTGCGAGGAGGGGTTGATAATATGTGATGATGAATAAATTTCCGTTTTTCTTTGAAACGTTGGGTAAGGGCGTTTTGAGGTGTGTAAATGAATTATGTGTGTATTTGGTGCTTTGCTTTGATTTTCTGTCCGGGTCATTGTCGATGAAGTTGACTCTCACTTGTAGGCTTTTAATAAGCCTCAACGAGGATCGGGCAAGAGGCAAGAGGATAATACTATCGTGATGCCTTTTGAGGTGTCTTGTTCCTTCCATCTGGGGTTGTTGATGTGGGTTGGTTGCTTGGCGACGGGTTGCTTGGCTTGATGGGTCGTTTTGCTGTACAGTGGCTTTGTTCTGCTTGTTGTGTCTTCTGGATGTGGTTGGTGGATTTCTGGGGTTCGAGGTGAGGGTATTGGTGGGGGTTTAGGATGTGTGGATTGCTTAAGGCTGTTGGTTGTCGTAGGATCGGCGGTTTCGCAGGGCTGATCGTCTGTGTTTGAGTCGGGATTGTGTCCTGAGACAGGGGTAGAGGTTCCTCAGGGTGGGGAGATGTGGTCAGCGCTACCAGATGTCGGCAGGCTGAGGAGTGGTTTCGGGTTGTTGTACAAGGATTTCGAAATGTTTGCCGTTGTGTGGTTGATGAAGTTGATGACGACTAGTCGATGGCCATCTCTGCCTGTCGCCTTCACTCCGCGACACAGCTGGGATGGTAGGCTTCCCAGATGGTCGTGGACTGCTGGCCGTCCGCGGATGGGATGAGCTTCGGCTTGCGGAGGGCCGGTAACTGGGCCGCGGTGTCGGTCAGTTTGTTGCATTTCAGGCACGGCGTTTGCTTGATGTCGGAGTACGATGAGATCATCTCCTGTTGGTGCGTTAGGTATGTACTGGAGAGGTACCGGGATTGTGAACTCACCAGCAATTGGAGTAGGTCCCACTGCCGGGGACGCGAGTTCAAACACTGCATGACCGCCCCCTCGAGCTTGGTGACGGGCTGTCCCGGCGCCGCCTTACTGGCGATCCGCCATTCCGGCACCCCGTGGCTCTCCAACCCTTCAACGGTATGAACCCGGAAGACCATCCCAGCCTTCACCAGCGCCACCAGGACTGACGCCTCCTCGGTCTTGCTCGTCTGCGTCTGCACCCGCACCCCAGGCACGTTCCGCTGGGCGAACCCCTCCACGATCGCCCGCCAGCCGCCCTCTGTGGCCTGGATCTTCGACCGCTCCGCCTCCTCCTCGACGCTCCGCCGCTCCGCCTGCTTCCCCTGCTCCTCCCGCACGAGCTCCTCCAGCAGCACGTCGTAGTCCTCCTCCCACATCCCCGTCGGCTGCAGCAGCTGGCCCCCGTTCCCGCGGATCTGGGCATCGACCCGGTCCCAGACACTCCTCATCTCCGGGCTCCGCCACAGCGCCTGAAACTCCGCAACCTCCCGCGTCCCGCTCTCGACGCACTGCTTAAGCTGCTCAAACACCGCCCGCGGGGACGATGATACGCCCTGCTGCCGGCCACCGGCCGCTATGCCCGGGTTAGCCGCCGTCATCAGGGGTTCCAGTAACCGTCCTGGAAGCAGCGTGCGCAATTGATGGATCTGGTTTTCGGTTAGTGGGGCGGGTTCTCATTCAAACACAGGGCAAGAAAGGGATTTGATTTTGTGGATGGCTCTCACCACTCCCTCCAGTTGCTGTAGCTTCGCTAGCGATGACACAAGCTGCATCTCGGTGTCCCAGGCGTCATCGTCCGGGGAAACTACGCTGGACTCACGGATGTTCGCCGTGGGCAGCTTCACGTCCTGCGAGGGCGCGGCGGTCATTTCTGGCACCACGATGGGCATTCGTGGCGGGGCCGCGGCGGGGGCAGGTTTGGGTGCTCCTGCTCCTGCTCCTGCTCCTGCTCCTGCCATTTTCCCTGTGGTGTAGTGAGGCGTGCTTTTTCAAGAGATTAACACCTCAATGAGCGCAGATCAAATGAATGAGGGCCCGGTGGTGATGGATACAGGCTGCGGTCAATAAAGAATGAGCTATGACTTTGCATTCAAGCTTGTTGCAAGCGCGCACAGTCATTTAGGTATCAGTTGTGCCTTTGTGCAATCCAGTGAGATGAGCCTCCAGCTATAAACAAAGCAGTGGTCTTGCTATCAGATGAAATAGCCGCCAAATCGGTGCGTGCAAGAGACCGCGGCGGCCGAAAGAGGACGGAGACGTGCTGACTAAGCCTCGCCAGCCACATGCTCCAGCCACAGTTATATCCCTGGCAGAATCTGGGCTTTACTTTCCACCGTCCTTTATACCGCCTTAAAGGACACTGTTAGTCACACCCTACGTAGCCTCCCACGTCACAGAAGTGGGCTCTGGCCCGTGTGTTCGCCTCATTAAACTATGGAGTATGCGAAGATGACATGGTCCACCGGATGCATTGATGGTGGTGGTCGTGGTCGTAATGCCCCCTCAATGTTGAGTTTTGGGGAGGGGTCAATTGGGGATACTTTTTAGGCATGAGGATATTAGCTAAGGTATCATGGATTTATATGCCTTTATTCCTTCGGTCGGTACGGTCGACGAAAATGCCTGGGGTTCAGGGACCATCAGGACTTTTCAGTATCACTCAACCCTCACTAATGTGTATGGTCGTCTTTCGAGACCCTTCCTAGCAGCCCAACTAAACGCTCTCCAACGCTCAAGGGGGTGGATGCAGACTTCTCAATGGAGGCAGATCGTCGACGGGGGCTGGTCCAGCAGGCAGGCCAGACTGATGGGCAGCAGCATTATATAACGATGTTGTGACTTTAGGATACTCAATTTATCAGAGTAGTATTATCTTCAATCATCAAGGGCTCAATGGGGGCCTTTTGGTGAATAGAGCCACAATTGTCTTTTTTTTCCCCTCTGATCCCTTGACCCCACTGAAGCATAAGATAGATATACAGACAGGCCTCCCTGCCTATTATTCACTTCTTCTTGCATGGTCTGCGCCTTCGTGGTGCGCTTCCATTTGCTGCCACCCGATCGACCCTTTTTGACAGGCACTCCAAGCACTCTCCCCGATCGAATTCGTCATCACCCAACGGTATTTTGGGAGAGGCGAACACATCTTTGAGTCGTGAGATCAGAAGATTTGGATTGGGTCTGTGGGTTGGTTGGTTGCCCTTGCCCGGAACCATCCAAGTGCGGGAGGAGCAGAGCCTGAGGCCCTCGTCGGGTTTCCCCCTCCCTCCCGACAGAGTGACAGACAGCCTGAGACAGACAGACAGACAGACGGTGACTTGCACTGCACTTGCACTGCACTTGCGCTCAAGTACTGTACGTACAGTACAGACAGACTGTATCTCCACCTCCACCAGAGCCAACCTTCCCGAACTCCTCTTTCCTTACCTACCTTAACTCTTCTCTCCCTCCCCTTCTTCCTCTCTCTTCCCCTCCTCCACAATCCTCTCCAGCTGGATTTTAATTCCAGTTCTCTCGCAGTCATTTTGAGACTGTGCGCATTTCTGCCTGGATTCCTGTCCTAACTGGGACTTCCAGACAGTCCCTTCTCCCCCATCTTTTCCTTCCCCCCCCAACCTCCTTCGCGTGTGTCAGCTGCCGCATCGATACTGGTTACTGCGTCGCACCCACCCCCCCGTCCGTCATTGTGTATTGCGACCGCCCAACCTCCGTACGGACACTCCTCGTCGCTCTTGTCTTCCTCCCACTTCCACCAACCAACCCAACAATTCAACCCGGCCATTCGTAACATGACCTCCAGCGCTGCCTAGATCTATCTCCTCAATTCCTTCTCTTGCCTCGTTCGGTGACCTAAGTTATATATTGACCTGGCTTGCTGGTGTGCCGCGTCGTCTCCGCCTGATTGCGCTACGTGCGTCGGCCGTCCCCGCCTGCTATCTAACGCTCCGATCGTGGTGCATGTGCGCTGTCGACAGAGATAGATGATCATCGAATTCCCGATCTGATCTATCTTTGCTACTGAAGTGGCGTCGTTCACCAGCGTGAAGAGTAATAATGGATTCCCAGTGGCAGCCTTACCAGGATCCCTTACTGGGCCATCCGGCGCAGTTCAACAACGGCCTGACGTCGAATCCACAACAGCACCTCGCCTCAAAATACAGCGGCCAGCCACAGCACTCGCAGCCCCCGGTCGGATACTCCTATGAGCCCTTTCAATCCCCTGCCGGCTCTGGGAAACCCTCGTCGACCGTGACGAACTCCAAGACCGTCTCGATGGCCTCGTCTCCGGCTGCTACGCCACGTAGTCGAGATTATGTCACCGATGCGGATACCACCATGGAGGACGCCGATCCGTATAACCGGGCCAAGTACACTGCACGGCCTGCCCACCACAGCCGTCCTTCCTCCCAGTACTTCTCCCATGAAGAGTCTTCGGCCGCTCGCAGATACTCTCCGGGGAACGTCTTGTCGTCGCCCATGTCTTCGTATAATGCCAGTCCCGGGAAACATAACTCGTACCCATTCCCGCCCGGCCCGAATCAGTCGCGACGCTCGCCGACCAGGGCGCCGAATTACGCCTCACCTCCCCAGTCGTTTCAGTCGCCGCCTTGTGAGTAACGTCCACTACCCCCGTATTTGCTGCACACTTCATTGTCGCTAACCTCTTTGCTTCTGTGACAGCCGGCTCGCGACCGCCTCGACTCCCTCCCCTGCAGCCCACCGATATGAGCCCTGATCAGTTCTATCCGCCCTCTGCGGGCTCTCAGCTCAGCGCAGCCTTTGCGCAAGACGGGCGATCCCCTCGTTCTGCATCTATCTCCGGCGGCAGCCACTTACCCGGTCGAGGACCCATCCCCAAATTTCAGAAGATCAAGTCGGTGTCGGATCTGCAACCGCACCTGAATGCACAGCCGCCGTTCAGACGTGCCAACCCCGAAGGTGGCTTTATCAGCGTATGTTCTGGCACCCCACAGCACATGCGTGGATTTGTTCTGACATTTCTATACAGCCCCTTCAGGCGTTGACAACACATCTTCCCGCCACTTATCGCATATGTAATCCCGGCTTCAATTACGAGTCTTCGAGAAATCCAAGGCGCGTCTTGACGAAGCCCAGTAAAGGCGTGAAGAATGATGGTTACGACAACGAGGATAGCGACTATATTCTCTATGTCAATGACATCCTGGGGAGTGAGGAAGCAGGTCACAAGTGAGTAGCCTGCAGGGCGGTCTTTCGCATCCTATTTGGGCATCTTCGCTAATCTTATCAGGAATCGCTACCTTATTCTCGACGTACTGGGTCAAGGAACCTTTGGGCAAGTTGTGAAGTGCCAGAATCTGAAAACGGGAGAGGTCGTGGCCGTGAAAGTCATCAAGAACAAGACAGCCTATTTCAACCAGAGCATGATGGAGGTGTCGGTCTTGGACCTGGTAAGCTCGGCTTTTCCTGGTTGCATGGGAATTTCGCTAATTCCGGGCACAGCTCAATAGCAGGTACGACAAGAACGATGACCATCACCTACTCCGCTTGAAGGACACTTTCATTCACAGGCAACACCTTTGTCTTGTGTTCGAGTTGCTCAGTGTCAACCTCTACGAGTTGATCAAGCAGAACCAGTTCCGAGGTCTCAGCACGACCTTAGTGCGTGTATTTGCCCAGCAGTTGCTTAATGCTCTGAGTCTGCTCAACAAGGCGCATCTGATCCACTGCGATCTGAAACCGGAGAATATCTTGCTAAAGAAGTGAGTCGGCCGTCCAAGCACACTCTAGAGCGCTAAAGCTAACTCCAAGCCGCGCAGTCTGGAGAGTCCCATCATCAAAGTGATCGATTTCGGCTCAGCATGCGATGAACGGCAGACTGTCTACACCTACATCCAGTCGAGATTCTACCGTTCGCCGGAGGTTCTTCTTGGCTTGCCGTACGTCCCACCGCAATCGTCTCCCGCCTAACCCTCTCCCCTGCTGGACGGCACGACTGACAATTTCCTAGCTACTCTTCTGCGATTGACATGTGGTCCCTTGGATGTATCGTTGTGGAACTGTTCCTGGGCCTTCCGCTTTTCCCTGGTTCCTCAGAATACAACCAAGTCTGTCGAATCGTCGAGATGCTGGGCCTCCCTCCGACATGGATGCTAGAGATGGGCAAGCAATCGGGCGAGTTCTTCGAGAAAACCCAGGATGAGTTCGGCAGGAAGACGTATCGCTTAAAGTCCCTGGAGCAGTATTCTCGCGAGCACAACACCAAGGAACAGCCGAGCAAGAAGTACTTCCAGGCTTCGACCCTTGAGGAAATCATCCGCAGTTATCCGATGCCCAGGAAGAACATGAAACAAGCGGAGATCGAAAGAGGTACGCCGTCTGCCAACGTCCTCTCCGAATGCATGGACTGACATGTCTTTAGAACTCAATAATCGCATAGCGTTCATAGATTTTGTTCGAGGGTTGTTGACCATCAATCCGCTCGAGCGTTGGTCCCCGCAACAAGCCAAGTTGCACCCATTCATCACACAGCAGAAGTTCACTGGGCCATTTGTCCCTCCGATGAACCTGAAGTATTCATCCCTCAACAAGACGGTGGCGCCTGGAATTCAGCAGCAGCAGCAAGCAGAGGCAGCCAGTAAACAGCGGGCGGCACAAGCAGCACACGCCCAGAGCGCAGCACAGAACGCATACAATATGCAACTGAATCAATTCCACACGCCAAGCCATGCCCAACCGCCACCGATCTATAACGGGATGTATGCTGGCCATCAGCAAGGTGCTCCGCCACCGTACCCCAACCAGCCACCAGCCTACGGTCATCAAATGAACATTCTGCCAGGGCAGATGCCGCAACAGCAATACGCGCCATCACAGACCCTCTACGCCCAGGCAACTACGAGGGCCGGCCGACAACGTGCATCCACCATGGACCCCCAGGGTGGAGGTATTCCGCCGACCATCCAGCGCGTGGCGAGTCATCTCGATCCCAACGCGCCGATCAGGCTGCAACCGAGCCCGGCCTACTACCCACCTCCACCGGATGGATACGTTGATGCCAACTCAGCCAACCAGCAAAGGCGTCGGGGAAGCCGGACTGGTGGCACAAGAAATCGGGACTTTATCCGGACTCTTGAAGACGGTGTCCTAGGAGGTGAAGGCTTCATGAGCCAAAATCAGTGGCACTGAGGGTGATGAGACCGCTGGCAGTTTGGTCGCACCTGGCAGGTGCATCGGCCTCGCTGACTAACATTCGATCAAGCAAGCACATGCTCCATGTGCATCTACCACGAGAGAAGAACAGTCAGATAGTTGTTCTCGCGTGTCCTCCTTTCGTGGGATCCTGCAAGTATTTTCCCCAGTCTTCGCACCACCAGGTATTCCCAGGTTGGACCGCTCTCAAGCCACAACAGTACCGTCACGCAACCCTGCTCCAGATGCAGTCTGCTTGTTGATCAGCATACAACATTCGATATCTTTAGCCCTGCTACATCCCATGGGATATGACGGAAGGAGCCACCCCGTGACACTCTGATCTCATTATAGTGACTAGCGCGGGGTCCTAGTCGAGCGTAAAGCGCCTTCCGGTGGCGTGTTGGTACTTATTTTGCCGATCACCGATGGATTAAATGTCTGTGACGCTCTTCCCAGGTTTCATGTCTCCTCGTGTCAACACTCTGATCATGTGTGTGGTGGGTTTCGGCATAGCCAGGAGTATTGGAAAGACCTTGATTTATGTCTCTTTTTATAGTACTTCCTTTATCTTTTTTTTTGTCCACATTCCTGATTATGCTTCGCACAATCTGCACGGAACTGCCTCTGTTATGCGCCGATGCGTCGAATTGTCTTCCTTTTCCATTTTGCCTTCTGATTCTCCCTTTGTTCTTCTTACCCTCTTTGTTCTTTCTGTGCAACCGAAGAGAAAAAACATGGCTGTAACTTGGATATTTGAATATGGACTGCGGTATATGAGGATAGGAACGAATGGCAAGAAAGCATATAGACGTGTTCTGAGATGTGCTGATATGATATAAGGATATACTCATAATAAATGATCGATGCATTGACGATTCTCCGCAATATTGAAATTGAAGATGGCGGAGTCGAGTCTAGAAACTAGAAGCGGGATGTGGTTGTCTAATTGCCCGATGCGGTTAGGTGTGGCCTCGCTTAAATTTCGTGTGTGGCTCGCGCAGCCCAACCTCTGCGGCTCCCGCCGTACCCTCACAACCTTGAACTGAATTTGCTCCCTAGGCAAAAGAAACAGACCGAACTGGCTCTGAGGGATCTCCGCTTCCATCCCTGAACGACTGTGCGTCACCCCCGATTTTTGTGACGACTCTCCATCGACCCTCCGCGACTTTTTCCCGGTTTATTTAAGCGTTCGAAAAGACACTCAATCAACACAACCCGCAAACATGTCGCGTTTCTTCTACGGTGGCGGTAGCGACAGCGAGTCCAGCTCGTCCGACGAGGAGGAGCTCTACAGCGATCGCGAGGAGGAGGAGCAGTCCGAGGAGGAATCCAGCGAGGAGGAAGAGGACT